AACAAAAACTAATGGCATCGTGCCTCCCTCTCGTTGCCAGTCCATGTAATAACTTGCTGTCTCTAACAAATTTAGGGTCGTCTGCAAAATCATCAACTATGATTAAAATTGAATGTAGTTTCTTCATCTTCTGTTCTTTCATATAATGAATTATCTTTCTTTGTGTGTTAATTATTTCTTCCAGTTCTTCAGGTTGGTAGGTGTCATAATATAACTTTTCTTTTTCATCATCAACCTTCATATTATCTTTTTGATATTTCTTGACTTCAACAAAGGTAGGGTCATTATGAACAGACGGACTAAAAATGAATATACGAGCGAAGCAGTCCCTATAAACATTTAGGATAAGGTTTTGGATTAAAACTGTTTTGCCACCCGTTGATGAAGCAACAACAATTGAGCGAAAAGGTAGTTTTGGTACATGTTCATATTTGGATTGTTTGAACTCATAATCAGTTATGTTTATTGGTTTTATAATGGGAACTTCAGGCATAAAATAATAATATTAAAAATATTTAGAAAATAAATTAATATTATTTATTGTATGAAAGCATTGCTATGATATGAATGGTGTCTATCGTAGTAGAACAGGCTCTTTCATCAACTTCAGTCAATAAGTATTGAAGATAATTAGTTTTGTGTCTTGCTCGCGTATGCAATGAAAACCCCAAGTGCTGTGCCCCACCAATATTCTTTTATGCATGAAAATAATAAGATTAAATAATTATTTTATCTTATTATTTATATGACTATTATCCATTGCAGTTGTGGTAAAACTTATGATGACAAATATTTATTAAAACATCTAAATTCAAAACATCATCAACAATTTGTGGAATATAGATGGAATAAAGACGATACAATGAAAAAACTTTACAAGAAAAGAAAAACAGAAATGAAAAATATTTTTCTTATTATTTAATATGAAAAGGAGTTATACAGATTATATCAATATAATAGATGAAATGGAGAATATAGAACAAGTACTAATAACCGATAATAAATTAAGAAATGTTGTTATTATTCATTAGAATTAATTAAGCTAGGAATACAATATATCAAAAATAAAAATGTAAATATTAATATAAATGCCAAAAAAGAAACAAAAATAATAAGACAGGTTTAAGTGTTTCATCAACTGATGAAGAAATTGTTAAAGAAACATCAGTTATTGAGGTTGTTTGTCCTACATGCAAAAGAATGTTAGAACTTAAGAATGAATTACAAATACAAAAGAAAGGACATTGTAAATGTTCGTGTATTCCAACAAGTTTCAAAATTAGTAAAAATGATAAGAAAATGAATATTGATAAAACTAAAGACAGTATCAACTTAGAAACAGATGTTCATAATATAACTTTTAAATGGGGTAAGGATGCAGCACTCTCGGAAAATGGTGATAACGAAACGCAGGAAACTATAGGTGAAATGATGAAAAATTAGTATTTAAAGAGTAGAATTAACATAATTTAAACATTTAGTTTTAAAAGTATAGTTGAATAATATAGTATATGGTTGAATTTTCAAGTTTAACACATTTACATTTTGGAGCACTTGAATTAGATAAACAAATTGGAGACAATAATTATAATGGTGTTAGTTATTATACCTGTAAGTGTGGTTGTAAAATAGTCTTAACTCGTACTCAAACTAAAAAATATAACTTTTTATTACTTAGTGTTGGTCTTAGCTATGAATATTTATATCTAGACAAAGCGTTAGTATGTGGACATACTCAAAAAGATTTAGATAACATTGTTAGACTTATGGTAGAAGGCGAAGAATTTAAACATTTAAGAAACAGAGACCTTCGAAATTAAAATATTTAGTTTTAAAACTTTAGTTTTATAATATAGTATATATGGAAGGTGTGGATAAACTATTTTTGAAAATTGATGAAATAATGGAACAAAATAAACGCATTTATCAACTGTTAGAAAGTATGAAGAAACCAGCTTACAATAATACTAATAATTACCAACCAAAAGAAGTTGATAGAGAGAGCACTGAATACAAGAATAAACGAAATGTATATATTAAAAACTTAATGAAAAAGTCATTAAAGAACCTAAACAATCAAGTCTGGATTTCTACCAAGTCAAGTATATTGAAGATACCAAGAAATATGTTTAATCATTAACTAACAAAATTTCGTGTCTCAGAAGTGGTTTGTTTATTCCTGCTACTCTGTAAGTCTTATTACCCATAATATCATATTCAATTTTATCAACATTGAATATTTTATTAGACCATTTAGAGTTATACTCTTTTCTGTCGGTGTAATTGCCCCTTTTCTTTTGAAACACTTTTACCTTATCGTTCTCCTGTATTTTGGGATATTTTCTTTTGTTCTTTTCTCGTAGTTTCAGATTGACTTTTACATTTATTTCATTGTCGTCCTTGTGTGCTTCGGTTGGTGTCATCCTTGTTGACGAGTGTAATGTACTGTTATACTGTTTCAATGCTGGTGTTAAGGCATCGGTCCATTTCATATTATTAAACCTAACTCTATCGTGAATTTTGTTTTTCATCGTCCTAATAAAACGTTCGGCTACATTTGCGTGTGTCTTCGTTATTATGTGTTTGATACCTTCGCTGTTGAAGAAATCCTGAACTTGGTTTTTGGTTGCAAATGCTCCATCATCATCAGAATACACAGACATCGGATAACCCATCTTTTTAAAACTTGCTCTTAGTGCTTTTAGAACGTGCTCTCCGTCTCTTTCCTCCATCGGAATTGCATCTGCTAATTTACTGAAGATGTCAATCACGACTAAAGCATACTGAGGAACATTCTTGTCTTTAGCTAAAGGTGACATATGCATTATGTCTATTTGATATTCATACCTAGCAAACGGGGCGGTATAGGAATTAGTGCCTCTATAATTTTTGATTTGTTTATTTGGTTGTTTCTTTAAGAAAGACTTTACATCTTCTAATGTTATCGTTGGATCTTCTTCCTTTGCCTTCTTGTGTGTTGCTTGTGTGCTTCCGAACCCCCCTTTAATAGATGTTGCTGATTATTTGGTTTTTCGTTAATCTCGCCATTATATTATTTGTTAGAAAATGTTTTTTATCGATATAACCCCCACCCCTTAACATTAAAAAAAACTACTTAAAGAGAAAAAACCTTATATATTAAGAGACAAATGAGTGAGGGTAAAATGTCAGAGAATAATTTTATATTTGAGAATTGTGCTAGCTTACCTGCTGATGTATTAAAAAGTATCATTTCATATAAATTAGGGAGACCTGAGTATTTGAAACTAAAACATAATCATATTAAGACATTAAAGAGAATACAACAACGATATAAAATAGACAGAACAGAAACAAAAAGAAAGACAAAGCGCTATACTGTTGAAGATGGCGATGATATAAAGAGACACGTAATTGAGTATTACATTTCAAGAAATATACCTTTAAGCATAAAAAGCATCAAAGATATAGTTTTAATGAAAATGAAAACTTAGATTGTTTGTTAGATGGCATTGAAACCGATAACGGTTATGAAGCAGTGATAATAGTTGAGGTAAATATGTTTGTAAGGTTTCATCATTTCAATTATTATGATGACGACCATTTTAACACTTTTAGTTTTCATTTTCATAGTGATGATGTTGTAGATAATATAACCATAGATAATATAGCCAGCCGATGTAATGAGAGCGGCGCATCAAACAATATACAGTTGTATTGATGATGAAAGAAGTAGAACGAATTTTGGAGGAGTACAAAACATAAGGTTTAAACTAATTGTTGATGAACCTGTGTAATTCATAACTAAACCATAATTATACCATTTATACTCTTATGTGTTATAATTATAGTGAACTTTTAACCTATGAATACCCCTGAATTAATTTTGACTTAGAAACACTTTTAAAGACTTAGGAACACTATATATTATTGATATGGAAAAGCCTGAAGCGAAGCAATGCTCAAGATGTCTAAAAACAAAAGAACAAATACATTTTGATAAAGATAGAAAACAATGTAATGATTGTATCAAACAAAGACACACATATTATTACAACAATAAAGACAAGCACGCTGAATGGGATAAAAAAACACTATGAAAAGAATAAAGAACACAAGCAAAAATACAGTAAAGAATACAACCAAAGGAAAATTGAATGTCAATATTGTAGGTGTATGGTCTCACTTAGTCAGAAAGCAAAACACGAAAGAACAAACAAACACATCAACAATGTTAAGAATCCAAAACCACTAAAGACTGAAGAAGCAACAAAAGAATACAAACAGCAAACAACACAGGAAGGGATAAAAGAATACATTGAAACCTCATCAGATTTTGAATACGACATAAACAAAGAATAGGAAAACAGAAGACCCGCCAACACCCCAATCAATGAAACTACTAAAAGTTCTAACCTCTTTCAAAATGAAAAAAAAACAACGCCCTAGAAACACAAAATGAAACAAGGCTTGAAAAATGGGTAGTGAAAACGAATAAGATTGTCAAAATGTTGAAAAACAATACTCAAAGAAAAACCCCAGCATTTGACATTTTCCCCCGAGGATCAGCCCTTTCTACATTTTTCCCCCCCCCCCCCCCGCCTCCAGCCTCCGCGCGTCAGGTACCCCCGCGCGTCAGGTACTCTTTGAGTGAGGTTACAGGTTAGCTGGGGTACAGCCTGTTTCCACTAAACCCCCAAGAAGTTATTCACTTTTTGCAGGGGGGTCAACAGCAACCAAGAGAATGAAGTTGAAGGAAGTTGAGGGAAGTGAGGGAGGGGGTGCCGGGCTCATTTTGGAGGATGTTGCTACCAATGCGGTTTCACAATATTTTAGGCCCCTGCCTCTCTATCAAAATTACGGAAGTTGCTTGGTCCCCCTAAAAGGGTCAAAAGACCTGGTCATTGCTTGGGTGTTAGACGGGGTTCCAAGATAACAATGGCCACAGGAGGTTTGAGGAAGGCTAGTCCCGTTGGCCAAATTGTTCTTTGCTTTGCGCCGTGACTGTGCCCCGGCCCGGTAGTATGTCGGCTCCGGCCATGTCATCGGCCATGGCTCGTCGAATCGCTGTGCTGAGCCTGGGCCTGTTGGGCGCCAGTGCACAGGACGACACAAACAACACCTTCACAGTTTCTCATTTGAACTCAGCTGACTCACATTCGGTTTTTCACTGTTGTTTCTTTTTTTGTGCTCCTGCGGGTGCCCTCATTTTTCTTGATGACTCTTTGGGCTTTGTTTTTGTCCACGGTCCACGGCCTCGAGGTGTCGCCCAGCCTCCTGCTGGAGGAGCCTTTGTGTGGCTACTCCAAGCGCAACATCGACGAGGACCCGCTCAGGAGGCACTGCCTTAGGCAATGCATCCTGGGGCCGGACGGCATCGTCCACCCCTACTTCGATGAATGGGAGGAGTGTCCAGGCAAAAAAACGAAGCATTTGGCTGCAAGCCTTGCATCCAGAGCGCACCACCGGCAGGGCAGACTTACGAGCACAAGTTTTGTTTTTTTTCAAAAGCGTCGCCCAAGCTTGGAGTCAATGTGCCGGATTGCAGTTACAGGCTTCAGAAGTTTAGCAGGATATTCTGTGTTTGCCAGTGCGTACGTCTCTGTTGCCACTCTTGTTCTTGCACTTGGACGAGGTGTACAATGTAATTCGCTCTTGTGAAGGTGTTCAATCACACTCAGTCCACTTCCCTCCAAAGGACCTGGAAACGCAAAGCGAAAGCTGTTGGAAGCCACCCCAATAGGGGCCTTTCTTCTTTGCTCTCTTTGTTCCCTCGAGACTCATCCAACAAGAGCCCAGCAACCCAAGCCAAAGAAACGAACACCTGGGGGCAGTGCCACAAAAGGCACGCCCTTTGTGTGGTTGTTGTTGGGAAACATTTTACATTTTTGCTCATTGTGGTTCAGTGGGAAATCCACACTTACCTGCTAAAATTTAAGTTTTTGCTCCCCTTCCAACGTCAACCAAGTTTGTGCGGCAACACCAAAAAGAAGTCAATCGTGGATTCCATCAGGTACTGCCGGGATACTGCCGGTATGATGGACTGGGACCCAGAGTGCTCCAGCTACTTGTGCTGCTTGTTTGGCTGCGAGGCGCTGCGCGTGTTTAAATGGGGTTTCAACCGGACACTCAAACGAAAGTTATGGGGACACCTTGGCCGCGATTGCCATTCGGACATGGGTCAAAATCGCGTACCCCCAGTGAACATCTCAATCCCCACCTAAAATGTTTAAATAGGTGGTGCACCTACCCCAAAATGGTACCATTGGTTTTGACCCACAGCCATTTGTTCGTCGCCTGCCAGGTCTGGGGCGGGGACTCCACACAGTGCCTGTCCGAGGATCCCACGGAGCGCTACAACTTCCTGCAGGCGACGATTGCGGCGATACAACGACTATGGCTTTTCTGGGCCATGAGCTGACATCCAAATGACCCGGCCTCCAATCTTGGCTTTGCAGGGAAAGCTCGCTAAACGTTTGGATCAAATGTTTGCTTTCTCTTGGAAAAGGGAAGCCCTTTGTTTTCGGTTCCGCGAGACAAGGAGCAGCTGGGTGAGTTTTGGCCAGGAATCCAGGGCGCAGATGTTCTCTGCGGGCATCACCCGGGAGCAGCGGTGCACCCTGGAGAAGTGCAACGCCTACTGCGCCAAGCAAGTCTTCATGACCTGCCGGGAGACTCAGTACACCCAGCAGTGCGAAAAGAGCAATCCCGCCCTCTACGGCTGCGATGTGAACCTCGGCCTACTTGGTGCTTGGCCAGTATCGTGTGCCATAAGGTGTAAGTCCTGTTTTGAGATATCATGGGCCAAACTCGTGGAACTTACAAGTTTCAGTCTTTCGCAGTGAGGAACTGCAACGGCGCCTTCTACTTCCCCCTGACCTGGGTGTTTTCAGTGTTGGCCCTTCGCTTTTTTTGAGCCCTGGACGTTTCTGGCTCCCGAGAGGCCAAGACGGCTCTTCACGCGAAATTCGCCCATGCAAGGAGCAGCCCGGAGTTGGCTGCGGTAGGTTGCCGAAAGGCGGCAGAAGACCCTGCCATGGGCACTGGAAAGGCCAAGGGTGGCAAAGCTTCCGACTTCAGCCCCAGCCCTTGAAGGGCGGCTCATGTCTCACTGCCAACTCACCTCGCAACAAGAAACAGTGGGGTCCCTTGGGCGATCGCCAAACGATCTCCGGCATAAGAACCATTTGGGTGTGGCTCAGAAATAAAAGGCCTAGTTGTTTTTCTTGTTTTTTCTTATTTTTTTCTTATTTTTTTTCTGGTTTTAGTCTTTGGCTCCACTTACCAAGGTAGATCAAAGTGCGATTTTGGCACATGTTTTTCAGCCACAGCCATTTTATTGACCTCCATCGCGACCCGCGCTCCAGCCAGGCACCTGGGACCTGCCGCTGGAGTGCTGTGAGTATGACCCCAGCTTCTGCCCGGAGGTGCCCAGCTGGCGCCCGGCTTTCAATGAGCCACAGGCGGGGTGCGTGCGCAAAGCCGCTCCGGTGAATTGTTTGGGGACCTGGCTTTGGAAGCAAAGCGAAAAGCGAGAATCATATTACCCTCCCTCCACCTGCTAACATGGCACCTCACAGAGGGTCCCTTCAGCAGCAAATTGATCTTCTAGGTACCCTACAGGTGCAATGTTAGTGGGGGAGAGGGTAATGTGTATCATTTGGGACCGTGCGAGATTGGATCAGACCTCAGTGTGCCAACGACTTGAAAGACCCTGCAGGCAGACACCAACCTCTCCATGATGGTGGAAGACGCCCTCGTACCTTTCGAGCCATGCGAAGGCAGACGAAGGTTTTGACGGGAAGACGAGGAATATGCCAGGGCGAGTGCCTTCGAACTGAATCCTTCTGCGATGTTCACACGATGTCGCCTTGTCTTGTTGCAGGCGAGGTGCGGAACGGATCTACTCGCAGCCTCGGTGCAGAGTTGCAGCTGAGCTGCCACTTGGCATTTGCCACGAAGCAATAGAGAAGTTCGGCTGTTGCCACGCTTGGGATTTGTCGCGAGAGCACGAGTGGCAAGTGACAGCGATCGAGGCCCGACAGCCCACGTGCTGGTGGTCGGCAGCACTCACATCCGCTGCGTCAGGGAGGACGGCAACGGCACAGACGGCAACGGCACAGACGACCAAGGCCTTTGGGAGGACGTGCGCCAATGAAAGCAGTCAGAGTCCGGGGCGGCATTCTTCGAGTCAGTTTGAGAAGTGAAGAGGGAAAGGCGGTGTTTCGCTTGAACTTGTGGAAGTCAGAGTCTTAGCTTGTTTTGCTGAAGGCAACATGGTCTGAGCGGAGTGACAAAGAGCGGCACTATGAGAGTTGCTTCCCAGGTATCGGGCGGTGAGCTGCAGAGCCCGGTGTGCGACACTCGGCGCAAACTGGGCGGCGCTAACGTCCTTCCTGTTGCAGGGGCAAACATGTTGCTTTGTGGATATTAAATATATATATATATATATCGATATATGTCTAAGGGCTGCCGCGCTGTGCCGCCGCCCCCGGCTTGCTTATAACAATTATGACTACGCTTTTTTTGGCGGGTTTAATGGCACACTTAAAGCATATGTGAAAAAGAAGAGCACCACGACAATGATCATGTTTTTGATGATGCACGTTGTTGCCCAACATTAGGGATGCTGATATTTACTACTATGCATTCGCATTATCGCCAGCAGTCATGAAGATCAATGTTGCTTTGCTTTTTTTGCATCATCAGCAGTTGTTGTGATAATTATGACGACGCATGCCCCTGCATCTCAAACAAGTTACTGCAGGATTAATTCGCATGATAATGAGCACCTTGTTGGATTTTACAAGAAGTGCCCCCGGTGTGTGGAAACTTGGGCAGGAAAAGCATGTTGGGGGCACTTTTTTTTGTTCGCAAGACTTCGTTGTATTGCTGTGTGTCATCGCTTCGTCTTCGCAAGAAGTAAGCTGTTAGCACGGATGCAATCAGATGGTGATGATGATGATGATGATGGCATGACTACACATCCCATGATGATGATGATGATGATGATGATGATGATGATGATGATGATGATGATCCTGATGATAATCATCACTACGCATCCCCAGCATCACCAGCAGTTATCATGACAATCATGACGCCACCATAATGCTGATGATCACTTACGCATCCCCAGCATCACCAGCAGTTATCATGACAATCACCATTACTAGTCGGGTCTAACGGAACGTACATGAAAAAGAAGAGCGCAGCATCGCCAGCAGTCATGAAATCCTCACTTTGCATGTCAAGTTGGGCTATGATTATGATGATGATGATCCTGATGATCATCACTACACATCCCCAGCATCACCAGCACTTACCATGACGACATCCTGATGATAATCATCACTATGCATCCCCAGCCTGCATTCCAAGTCGGGTCTAACGGCACACTTGAAACGTATATCGAAGACAAGGACGAGCACAAGCCCTTCCCATGCGCCTCCCCTTTGGAGAAAGGGGTCGGCGGATATATAATATATATATATATATGTATATATATATATATGCTCAGGTCATGCAGGGGGGGGGTGACCATATATATATATATATATATGTATATATATGTATGTATATATGAGTATATATATATATATATGCACACCCCTGCCATGGACCCTGCTTTTACTGCCTTTGGGAGATGATAAATCTAGAATCTAGAGATTTAACTGCTCTTTTCTCCAAGGTTGGGCCCCCAAAGCAAATGTGTGTATGTTCAATTATATTTGCTTTTTCCTCTCGGCGTATTGAGTAATTATAACTTAAATTTAAAAAAACCAAATACGAGTTACCTGCAAATGTAAACATCATTTCGGGTAAACTCCAACTAACCCTTAAAACGAATCAGACAGGAGTCTATTCCCAAAAATAGTCTAAGTGTCAAGTATAATCGAATACCAGCAAAATTCAAGTAGCACTTGATAACAACTAAATAGAAGCTCTCGAAACCAATTCTCAAATATGATTTATGCTACATATGGCTAAACATTCAAGGGACTTCTAAAAGGACATTCGAAATACGATTTTTTTCATTTACATTCTAGCCCTTTTGTAGCATAAGAAAGGTCCGAAATCAACCTTGTTAGACGGTGTTTCAAAATGGAAAACCCAGGGAAGAGAGGTTTAAATTCTAAAACTACCTCGAAACAGGGATTCTAGCTCAATCAATTGTATTGAAAGTCTTATTTGGACAAGAAATCGTATTTGTTTGTATCGCGAAAAGCGGAGGTAATGGATGAGCAGAGGTGCACAGGTAGTTCGGGGGGGGAGGGGAGACTGTGCGTGAACATATGTATATATACATATATATATATATAAATGCATATATACACTTACAAACATATAGAACCTCCTGGAAAAGGGTCAACTTGAGCATAGCTTACATGAAGCAAAGCAAACCGCTCGCCAAAAGCACCTGACAATTTGTCTAATTAAGAACTCGAAAGCGGTTTCACTGGATGGCTATTTTACCACTGCATGGAAGATTCAAGATTGAAAATTACACAGACATCTTTCCTGAGAATCACCAATCCTGGCCAAACCCAAACAACATTCAAGTTCTTCTAACACTTGAAAGTGCTTTACCACTGGATTGAGGAGTCAAAATTGAAGATTGCACAGACAACAACTTTCCTGGGAATCATCAATCCTGGCCAGCCCCGAAAAACTTTCAAGTTGGGCCAGCCCCAAGAAACTTTCAGGTTGTTCTAAAATGCGAAAGTATGCTATCACTGGATTCAATATTCAAGATTGAACAGTTTTCCGAGAATTTTGTCCCCTCACTTTGAATCCAGAAATTGTGGGAACTTGTAGAAATGCATATGACTGCAAATGGATGTGCGTACTGCAGAAATATGTCTTGAACAGCTACAGTACTGGGACAACCCAGTTAAACAAATTGGATTCAAGATTCAAGATTCCCAAACATAATTTTCTCAGATTCTTGAATCTTGAATCCCATATTTTTTAACGATTGTTAGAATTCCAGGTCAGATGGCAGATGTTGATAATAATTTTTTGCGTACATTGCATATGTATGCACACATACATGCATGTGCCCCCCCCCCCCCCAATTTTGCCACAAGCTCAACGAGACAAAACAGGCACAAAACACTGGAAAAGCACAGCTCAAGCTCACCAAACCAGGGTCCATGGGTACCATATCTGGTCTTCGTCAGCTGCTCTTTGCTCTCTTTTTCTTCCTCTCCCTCACTCTACAGGCGAGAGCCAGCGCATGGGAACTCCCCGCAGACGTGTTGCGCGTTGGACCCCTGGACCGCCGGAGGGGCCGGAGCTCGGAGCTGAGGAGCTGAGCGATCACTGGTGTCCCAAGCCGATGCCTGCCGCAAATGCCTTCCTCTTCAATGCGCCTTGTCTGCATCCCAGGTTTGCTGCATCCCAGGAGGTCTGCTGGCGAATTTCCCAGATGTTTGCCCATTTCTATGCAAATTTCCCAGGCGTTTGCAAAAACATTTTAGGTGCAGGGAGAGATTTCTGTGATATGGGGATTAAGATTGCTGGCCCTGTGCTGACTTTATGTGGACATGCTGAAGGGATGACCAATGATGGCAATATGCTGACGGGCAGGTGTTGGAAGCAATTGAGACCTTCTGTTGCTCCTCATTAATGGAGGTTCGCCGTTTGTATATCGCAAGTATGTTGAGGAGACACCGCTGAGAGTAAATGTAACCAGCCCAAGACCGACCCGAAGATATCCGCATGGTTTCGGCATCCAAGAGGTTTTCATATGCCCCATACCTCAAACCACTTCTAGCCGCTGTCTTTTTCGATCAGGCCTCTTCCTGGTCAGAGCTTGTTTGGGGAAGACCGAGCCCTTCGGGCGATGGGTTCTCCCTCAGGCTGGGCTTTCCGTCTCGTTTCCGAGGCCACACACGGCCGGCGCCTGGGCTCATTTGCCTACTTCCGCTGCCTCAACGACCTGGAGCGCCTCGAAGAAATGTTTCGCCCTAGAAGCCAAAGCCCCTTTCAACCCCAAGACCGCAAGATCTCCAGGGAGCGGCTCTTCGTGTTGGAGGAAGTGACTTGTTAGTTTCGGCCACACATCAATTGGGCCATGGGCTCAGGCGTTCTTCCAATCTTTGGAGTCCAAAGCCGCGTGGACAGGCTAGAGCCAGACAGCGGCAGCATCACGCTGCGCTGCGGCACGGCACCAGATGGGCACGCCTGCCTTGTGTTGGCTCCTACCGCCGTTGCATCAAGACAGCCGAGTCTCTTACGTACTTTGGTTTGAGCCAACATCAGCACCCGGGGGCGGCGCAGCCCACCTTAAAAACCCAAATCTTGATTCAAAAATTGCATCGCAATCATAGGTGGCCCTTTTTAGGTCTGGTTTAGATGGGTTTGATTCCATTTACCAGGGAAACCCATCTATTTTTCCAAAAACACACCTATTGCCATTGGCTTTCAGTGGATGTCAGGCAGTCGGGGCTGTGGCTGGACGCCTTCGGGGCACCTGCACAGCCCTTGAGCTGTCGACAGAAGGCCACCACACAGACCAGCACCACCAGTGCCTCGGCTGGAAGTCGGGTGTGGCTCAAAATGAAACCGGGGCAAACCGCAGGTTTTGGTCCATGTTTCCACTTCCCAGGATTCCATGTTGGTACCGGTTTTTTGAGTCACTGCCATATCGATCGGATTGGGCGAGCAACTGCTTGAAGGTTGCTTGTGGGCTTGTTGAGGGTCGACACGGTGAGTGAGATTGGTTCAATGGCAAGAGAGGGCTTGGCAGACCAAGTCCAAGCGTGAGCAAGACCAAGATCGTGAGCATTTTACTCTTGTTGAATCTTCAGCTATCTTGTTTGGCAGCAGTGGCGGTTGGGCCATAAACCTATCCTGGCACGGCTGTGCTACTGCTCAAGAAATGGCAGAGAAATGTCAGTTTGCCAGGAACTGGGAAGTTGTACAATTTGCTCCAAATCTGCCACACGCATTACATATTTTTCGTAGACACAGAGCAGTGCAAGCCAGCGGTTTTGGCCAAATGCGTGCGAGGCGCCATCCCCAACCGGGCTGACTTGATTTCGGGCCTTCCAGGCAAGCACTTGGTGCGTGCCTTGTTGGGAGTGGAACGAGCCTTCTTGCATTCCTCCCAGACTTGGATGCGCTTCAGTTGAAATTGCTGTGGGTCAAATCCAATGGTACCATTTTGGGGTAGGTGCACCGCCCATTTTAGTCTAGTTTAGTGGGGATTGGGATGTTCACTGGAGGTACGGGCTTTTGACCCATGGTCAAATTGCTTTTGGATGATCAGGTGTTCAACGGCACCGTGTCAAGAGGCACACGCAATCAATATCTCCCCCCAAAAGCATCTCCAGCGCAGCGATGTGTGGCCCCACTCGCATTGAATTGCGCAGGGGACCAGGGCCTCAAGGCGGTGCGCTACCACGCTGCTAACGCCACTCTGGGCTGTGGCTATCCCTTCGTCAATGTGGGAGGCCTTTGGAAGTTGGGGAGCATGCCAGATGTGGGTACGCTTGACCTCAAGGCCTGTACTGTTGCCAGAATCTTTACTTGGCGGTGTAGATTTCTGAACTTCGGACCGTATTCATTGTCTCCAAGGAGATGTTGCTGCGGCTGCATTTCTTCGCAAAGTCAGAGCTTTGTATGTGTTATCTTCTAGAGATAGATTGGGAGACGACTCGCTTTTCCATTGTCCACTGGCAGGGTTTACTCAAGACTTTGGAACTAGAAGACCCCTAGTTGGGACAATAAGAAAAAGTTAACTTGTGCCTTGGTGGGTGCTGTCAAGCCAGCTTGGCGGCGCTTGAGAAAGCTTGCAACAGGGGTCGTAAACAGCGACGCTGAACTATTCTTTGTTCCCCTTGTTGTTTGAAAGATCAACAGGAGACTATGCGCAGTTTCTCGTCAAAAGGTTGCTTAGCAGGGCCATGCCGTGTCAGGGGACGAGCACGTCTATTGCGTCATCGGCGCAGCTGCAACAGCCGACGGCACCGCTGGCCGTTGGGTGGATGCTGCCTGGGCCTAAGTGGCCCAGGCTAGTGAATCAAGAAGCGAGTGGAAAGGTGGCCCAGACAGGGTTGGCGACTCTGTGATGGATGTTTGATATGCTATCCCTGGAAATCCACGACTGTTTTTTAAACGTCCTTTGCACCTCGCCTGTTTTTTGCAGCTAAAGCCTGTTTTTTGCGCCTGTGGTGAGCCATGGCGTGGTATTTGATGGATTATTCATGCTGTTGCCACGTTTAGATTGTACAAAGCCAGTTCCACCCCAACATGTCTTGACACAACAATTTTGGTGTGAACATAGCGGTCCGTGATGTACGCAAAAGTAGCGTGAAATCACCGTGAAAATACCGTGAAATTGGCGTGAAAGCCTGTTTTCCAGCGTGAAAGCACGTTTTCTGCCGTGAATTGTCCTTTGATAATCCCTCCGCTTGTTTTGTGGGAACGGAGGTCAAATCTTTGCACACTTTGGTCCTGAGCACGTGTGGCGCCCGAATTGTTCAATGATGTCAGCTGAGCTTGGACAAAACTGCTCCTGGCAAAAAAACCGCCTTTCACAGAAAACATGCAAAATAAACCGCCTTTGGAACCCCAGGGCTATATGTACTCGCGATGGGCTGGGGCACAGTTTGCACGGTGACCCAGATTCTGAGAGGAAGCCTTGACACTGTCAAGGTGCTCAAGACTGAACTAGCATAACGGCAGGCCGCGTAAGGCATGTTGAGCACGGGTGTATGCGTGCCGATGCAGACCAAGGATGGCAGCAACATCGAGCTTCCCATTTGCGTCAGAAGCTGAGCCAGATCAGATGGGTCATGGCTTTTGTCGCAGCTCACCGACACTCTGAAACCAGCATAGCCAGACTGAACCAAAGCTGCTCAAATCTCAAGCCCAGAGTCTTGCACGCCCAGTGGCAGCCGGCATAGCATCCTTCTGTTGAATTCGTTTGGAGCAAGTTCTAAGGTGACTCGTTGGGGTCTTCCGCCGGTCACACGGCTGAGGTCTTCCGCCGGGACTGGTGCCCCCAGATCGAGCTGGATGGGCTTCACAGCGAGGCCTTGCTGAGTAGCACGGGGCTCAGAAGAGATTGATTGGTATTTGGGTGTGGCTCAAGATTAAACCGGAGGGGCTACGCAGGTTTTGGTCCATGTTTCCAGTTACCAGGGTTCCATGTTGGTTCCGGTTTTTTGAGCCACAGCCATTTGTGGACCTTTTCTTGAGCTTCTACTGCAGTTGCATGGCGAACTGCTGGAGCTTTTTTGAATACGATGTGTAGCAGCGGACAAGAACCAGATCTGGCTGGAACTTGATTTACGGGGCTATGTCAATGTCTATGAATGGGAAGTCGAGCCTCTAGATCTCCCATCCATGAGTATGACTTCAAAGTCGTCAATGCGTTTCAGTGGTTTGCTGTTCGTTGAAAGATGGTACGTCTTGGAGTCGGTTCCTTTGCAAGGTGCCTACGAGTACACCAGCATTGCGACCTTGCGGTGCCACATTGGCTACCAACGCGTTCCTTGGCAGGGGAAGCATGGGAATGATTTGGAGTTTTTGCTATCACGGTTCGGAAGCTTCGTCGCAATGTTTCGCAGCCCACACACACACACACACCTCGTCGCTGCAGCAGTTTGTTTGGCTCGAACCCACACGGAATTGTCGGAGCTGCCGATGCGCTGCACCTAGTCCGAAGCTTGCTCAGCTGCCGGGCACCATTTTCGACCATGTGGCAGAACGGAACGTGCCGGTGCCTGTATCCCTTGCTCACCACTTGGCAGTTGCGGGCCACTTCCTCTTACTCCGCCCTGTTGCAGGGCAAGTCCTTACAGCAAATTGAGAGGAGAATTACTCGGCTAAAAGTTGTCCAATCCACCTTGCGACGGCCTCCGCTCACGGAGTTCCAAGCCTTTGGCTGCACATTTGCGCTGCCGCTATCCAGCTGCAAAGCAGACAGAGCCGCGCTTCCTCGGGCCCAGTTGCGGTACCTGGCCGGGTTCTTCGATGACGGCTGCGTTTCATATGGGGAGTTCCCAGGTTGGGCCCCTTCCCCGTCTGAGTGTGACGCAGTCGGCTTCAAGCGCAGAGATTTTGATGAGATTGAGGCAGGCTTTCGGTGGGGGAGTCATGGCACTGGCACGCGCGAACCCACTCTGACGTGGGAAGTCAATACAGGGAGCTGCGTCAAATGCGCAGCAGCTCAGCTGGAAGAGTATTCATTTGTCAAGCTGGCTCAGCTTAAGCTGATTTGTACCTGGCCCTCAGATCCGAGCGAGCGGCGGCGGGCTGCTCAATATTTGTCCAAACTAAAGAGCTCTGATTCCACTGCAGATGTCAAATGTTGTTGGCCATACATAGCAGGTTTTTTTTGATGCTGAGGGCAGTATAAGTGTTTCAGCAAAAGCAACAAGTCTTGTTCTCAAGATAGGACAAAAGCACAAAAATGTGCTGACATGGATGCATCACTTCTTGGAGCAGCAATGCGGACAGGTTGCCGGATCATTATATGGGAAGCAAGGATACTACAGCATTGAACTGCACTCGCTCGAACTAGTTCAGAACGTGCTGCATCGCCGACTAGTAAGCGGCCTGCTCGTTAAACGGGCGCACGCACAAGCAGCTCTGACACTTCAACAAGGCACCCACACTCAGCTCAGAGAGCAAATGGCACAGCTGGTTGGCAATCAAGGCAGGTATCATCGCCTGAATGCAGATGGCTGCGTGAGAGCTAGGGAGATAAACTTGGTTAACGGAAAGCTTCGCCATCTGAAGTGTTTAGCTAAGGACAAAGAAGCTGATCTGGTTGCCCAACACCTAAGCACGTTGAAGCAGAAGCACGAATACGCCAATGCAGCAGCCGTGCACTCCTCGCTTCAACTTGATCTCCGCTCGTTGGCCCGCGGTGCTGTGCAGGAAAGGAGCGCCGGCGCGTCATCAGGTTTGCGGAAGGGATCGTGGAAGAGGAAATGCGTTGGGGGTGCTGTCAATGTCAAGAGTAGTTGGTTGCTTTGAGCAGAACGTGTTTGTCCGGCCAATCCAAGGTTGAGGGCAACACAACGCTGATGCTTTGTCTGCAAGATACTGTGATGGTCTTTGTCGGTCAATCTCAGCTTGACTGTATCGCAGGGCAGGACTGCTTGGCTATGGCAGGAGTCCAACATCTCAAATGTGTTGGTGTGCATTGTTTTGCAGCTATCAATCTCAAATGTTCATGTTGCATGCCCTAGGGTTCCAGTGAAAGAATTCGGTACAACTATTGGAATGCAGGAACCCGGCCACAGCTCAGGAATTGCATCAATCATGAGTCCTTGCTCTACGGCATATGGGACGGCGAACCTTTGTCCGGGACCTTAGCCTCGAGTTGTTCTCATTCCAAGGGAGCAGAAGAGGGTGGAACAATATCAGGCAAACCCAGGCGACATATGCAGTTGAGTGATCATGATTTGTTTCGCTGCAATGTTGCTGGTAGAACAACCATTGGATGACGCTACGGCTTGTTGCGAATTGTTTTGGTCAGGTCCCTATACTTGAGTGCCCGATATGCTTCTCATGTTGGCTCGAGGCACACACCAGTGTATATAATCAGAGTGAGGTTTGTCGATGCTGTGTTCCACTTTATTCAGTGAGTTGTCAGAAGTTGTTTTTTCTGCAAGTATGAAGCGCTCGGTGTGTTTGCTCCTCATGGTCGGGCTACTGTGGGCTCTTTCCGACTGCGCTGTCCCGTCTGCGCCACCCGTGCGCCCGCCCCTGGCCTTGGGGGAGGACACAAAGCCGCTGCGGTGTGAGCTGCAGCGGCAGTTCGAGAACTTGGCGGCATTGGGGTGGCTGGGCCGAGTGTATTTGGCCGTTCCCTGGTTGGATCAACTGCTGCCACTCTTCCGACTGGAGCCCTACGCCGGAGATTTTGTGCTGGAGGACGGCTGTGTGTGCACGCTCAAAGAGAGCAGCGTGCTGCCCCGGGGCATTCCCCTCACCTTCCGCCTGACCGTGGACCGCGGCGACGTGACCGGGGCCGCACTGCTGGGCATCGGCTGCGACCTCTTCGCTGACAGCGAGGCTGGGCCCACGCCGTCCTGGTCGCAGGCCGATTGGCAAGCGCCACGCGCGCTGCCGGCGCGGCTGGGCAGGGCCAAGCGGGTCCTCGTGGAGGCCGTGGTGCACGAGATCTTCGGGCGCCTCGCGCGGGTCGCCAAGGCCGCGGAGGAAGGCGCAGAGCTGGCGGCATGCGCGGAGGCGGCGGAGTTCTTCCCGCGGCAGGACCTTTTTGCGAGGGAGGGCACCGCGGAGAAATGGCTTCAGTGCGTGTCCGGCTACTACTTCGCTGAAGCCGTGCTGCAAGATGTGCACGTCCCGAGCGTGGATCCAGAGGCTGCGGTGAGGTTCACCTTTTACTTGGACCCCACTGAACCTCTCAACTCGGAGGACCCCATGATGAGCATGAACCCCGAGGTGATTCGCTGCACCTTTACGGATGTGAAGTCTTGAGTCTTGACAAACTGCAGCAGTGCGGCCAATATTGCCAGTGCTTGCAGCTTCCTGCACGTTGGCAAGCGGTGCAATGCCAACCTCACGATCAAGAACAGAATGCCAACGGATCCTCTCACCTCGACTCTGAGTGCAGCTGCGATGCCAACGGATCCGACCGCTGAAGTTGCGCCCCTTCGGCGTTCCGGGCCGTTTTTCGGACTTGGGGACTGAAGGGGCGGATGAGGTCTGTGCGGAGTGTGGCAAGAAAGAGCTGGATGAAGACGAACTCACTTGAGCCATAGCATGCCACGGATGACCTCCTCCCCACTGACAAAGAGAAATCAATCGCCCAGCCTCTGCTGGGGATCAGCCAAAGCTTGTTTGTTTTCCCCCTCAACTCCCACTTCCCGTCATCCCTGCGAGGCGGTGTGAGCTGTCGGCTTACTTTTGCCCCGCACCAGAGGCCGGAGGGGACATGGCAAGTCGGCAAGGTTGGACCGTTCTCACAAATTGGGGAGGCTGTGACCCGAGAAGAGGCTCTCAACGTCAAAGTGCTGGCAATCTCTTCAGTCATTTTCTTACTTTTGCAGGTTTACCAGAGTTGCAAGTTGCTTGCATTGCAGCGGCCCACAACAGAAGTGGTTCTGGCCAGGCTGGTTTAGAGTATTCCCGCCTGTTGCCGCTATCAAACAGGTCCCGGGATGTTTCAGGTAGTTATCCTCTCGGGATAGTCGCCATACGTTGTCATGCTCTTGGCAAGCCAGACGCCAACTATCCTTGTAAAGCGCTGGACAGGCCAGCAACGCCAAGCTCATCGAGATTTCAACGCAGTTCCGGCGTGGCGATGCGCGGGAACTCGGAGAAGCCCCAGATGCATTTTGGTAGATCGGATCCGGCTGGAGGTTTGGCCACTTTGTAAACGGCGGCGGCTTTAAACATCTAGCGAAATGACAGCTCAACATAATTTGGCAAGGGTCCGCTGTTGAGAGCAGGGTTAGCAGCAACTGGGCCCCCAAATATGGTCGCTCCTGCTTTCAATAGCACACCCCCTCCCCAACCCGCTCGCTGCTCAAAGGTTGTGAATCTTGAGTGCCACACAGGCGCGCAAAGTGTGGGCATGTTGGCGCTCGTTGCTTGGAGCATGCATGCTGACTTCATGGCAGCACCAGCTGTGGTTCGCGTGCAGCAGGCTTTGCAAAGGGGAAGTCTTTGTGCTGGGATGCCAGGCTTCACCTACCTCGAGGGTGATTTGCAGGTGCACTGCGACGTCAGCGATGAGACTGACGGAGGAAGGGAAGGGCGTTGGGTTTTGGGTTTGGTAGACACGAGCGGGGCGCGACGCAAAGAATCCGGGGCGCAGGACAGTGGAAAGTGGCAGATGGCACCGCTGCCAAGCCGGTGAGCGCCTAAACCCGTTGCAAGCTGAATCTCGACAGGGGGGAACCTCGCAGTGAGTCGTCTGTCCCAAAGACATGCTTACAGAGGTGCATTTTGCTTGGATGCTAGGACTTTAACTTTTTGCCAACTAATGGGTTTTCCCATTAAACCACTAAAAGTTAAACTTTTAGCAGGGGAGCAGAAAGCAACCGAGCTTAGATCGGTGCATGCCTGCTGAGGTGGTCTGCGTGCCGCAGCAGGACTTCTGCAGCATGCCGGCGGTCAACAATGGCTTCGTGTACAGCATCACAAAGCAGGGCAAGGCCAGAGGCTTAGTCCAGAAACTGAGAAAGGCAATCTGCCCCAGCACAGTCTTGGCTGGGTGTTGGACCTCTCTGGAGAGTGCTATCAGGTTTGCAAGGGATTTATTTGTTTTTTGCGATGCATTGGGACACCGTGTTTGGCCCTCGCAAACCTGCTGTCGAAGTCCAAAATCGAAGAATGAGTCATTGGCCGGGTTTTGCAGAATGGCAGTTTCATCCAGTTTTTGTTGTTGGCCAAACCACAGTGAGTTGGCCAAAAATCACTTCCCGGCCTCGAGCCCGTCAGATGGGGAGTGTGGTGGAGCTGCACTGCAAGGACGGCTTCCAGGCGCGTGCCGGATCGGGTTGCTGTGATTCCTGCGCCTGACAGCACCCCTTCACCTGGGACGAAACAGAATGAGGAATCATTACATGTTAGGCACCTGGTGCGAATCAATCCTGGCGACCCCCTTGCAGCATCAGGGAAGCGTCAAAGCTATGCCATGTGTTCTGAAAGCAACCAAACTTCTTCCCAGCGCGTGGCAACAAGTCAAACTGGGTTGCCAACCATTTTAGGTTTGTCTCAACAAGCTGGAATTTCGCGGCCAACCCGAAAAGAACTTTGACAAGGAGCAACTTTTCCATGGTTATTTATGAGAGCCTTGAGAAAAAGGCAGTTCTTGGAGTAGAGGGGTCCTAAGGGTACCTTCCCCATTCTTTCCAGGGATCCTTCTTTCTAGAAAACCTCCGGAATCCCAGGGAAAACGCCTGGCTTTTGAAAAGAGCGACGGCTGAAAAGAAGGGAAAAGGAATCAACCCCAAGGGGGGTGTTTCTTTTCCATGTCGGATCCGATCGAACCGTTTCTTCCCAGACGCTCCAACTCGCCGCCGCTTCGGATCTCTCAGGACCCGCGCCTCGCCGCGGAGCAGCGCACGGCCCTCTGCGCGGGCGGCGACTTCCGCGTGGGCCGCACGGCAAAGCAAGCGGCCAGTGAGGCTTTGGGCGAGGTTGCGGTGGATACCAAAAGGCTTCGTAGACATGAGCAGGGTTGAAAACCCACAACCCCCCCCAAAAACATCGAAGGCAAGTCTTTAAAAATGATGTTCATTGCACTCAACGGCTTCGTAGAAATGAACAGGGTTAAAAACCCACAACCCCCGCCCAAACAAAACGAAGGCAAGTCTTTAAACTTGATGTTCATGACGTTCAAGCTGCAGTTCGATGATATTCGCAGCCTTGCGGGGAAGTGCTGGCAAAGTGATGCACGAGTGCTGCTGACATGCTGCTTGAGCCTTGCTCCGAGGCATGTCCAAAGTCAGCAGAGAGACTTGGCTGATTCGTGTCCGTGCGGCTACTCGAAAGCTTTGTCTTGCAAGTCCTGTCCATAGTCAAGCTGATCCAAAATCTCACAGGTGCTTTGGATATACTACTTCTTCAGATTTGTCTCAAGTGGTGGAAATCTCTTTGAGTTGTGTTTGTGTGTGTGTGAGTGCGTGTTAGGCTCTGCATGTCTTCTGTCTCTGTAACTGCTGACATGTTGCATGTACACATGCGAATACATGTATGCGGCCAGGCGTAGAAACTCAAAGTGTCATCCGAGCAGACAGGTCTCGCTGGCATGAGAGACGGCTCGGCACCAGCACTTCGCACACCCGGAGTGTAGACTGAGGACCTGATCCGTGCCACGAACCTTGTCCAGGATGTTGTGGAGGAGCTGGAGGCCAATTTGGCTCCTCGTCTCGCCTCAGTCAGACTCAGAGCAGAGCACAGTGCTAAGGCCCTGGACACCCGGGAGCCAGAGCCTCAAGTTCACATCGTGACTGACGTGGGAGTCGTAGAAAAGCTTGGGGTAGTGTTCATCCACGTGCCGTTCACTCCTTCTTTTCACCATTTCTTTGTTTCGGCTTGCTGCAGCTGATATCGCTCTCCTTTCTGAAACGGTGGTTTAACCCAATAACATCAGTTTGGAGGGTTTGCAGCGGATTGCCCTGATCCGCGTTGCCTTCAGGTCCGACTACAACTGGCGGGCGCTGATGCAATTTGAGTACCGCTGGCGCTCCGAGCTGAGCGCCGGTCTGCAAGGCCCGCGGCACGGAGGTCGCATCTTGAGTCATGTTGACACTTGATGCATAAAGCTGCTCCTAATTCATGAACGGCCATCTCATTCATGAGGGGCTACCTTGGAACCAGTGTCACTTTCTGCTTCGGAGCGCCTCAAAACATCCCCAACGGAATGGTCATCTATGATATTGCGGTCACAAGCAAGGCGCAACTATTAGAATTGTGGATGAACTGCAATTGATTGGCACAACCATTTTGTTGGCTTCAAGACTGTGGTGCCCAACACGGCAGAGTGCGTCCCAGTTGCTTCTCGGTTTGGCGGCGGACCCCGAAGGATTGCCCAGCGATACAGCCGTGAGAGAGGCCGGTTGGGCGGGGTTGGGTTGATTGCAAAAACGGGCAGGCGCACAGGCCTTCCTATTGACTTCACATGTGGTTTTTTCAGACCAAACCAGCTTGTTCCATTCCCATCTGCCTCGGAGGTGTTGAGCCAATTCCCCAACTATGACGGGGTCTCGGACCGGTGGCTCGCAGTGTTCACCGTGGACGATGTGCGCCAGCTCGTGAGGCCGGGCATGAGACATTTCACGGGCCAAACCCAGCGCCTTCTCGAAAAGCCAACCGAGAGAGAATACGAAAGGGAATCCTGCGAACACGTTTAATGAAGTACGGAGCCCTTTTACTGGCCAGGATGTTGGAGGACAAGCAGACGGAGATGCTGGATTTGGAAGACCAGCAGCAGCTCAATGGCATTGAGGTTCGGAAATGAGGAGATGATGCAAGTCAAGAGAGCAGCGAGTCCCATTGCTGAAGTGCTCAGGATGACAGAGAGAGCATTCTGATTCAATTTGTCCAGCTGTGAGGCATGAGTCAGCTGTTGTAACGAGCACACTGTCGGGTTTTCCCACAACCAATGTCGATGATGAGCAGAAACGGACACCTTCCAACCTTTTTCACAACAATGTGCACTCGGGGTCAACGGGGATGATCAGGGTACCTTTCACCAGTACTTGTATGACCTTTTTGTAGCCGCTGCTTGAGGGAACCAGTACCATCCCCCGTGGGCAGTTGGAGCTATGGTGCGTATGTTTGCTTTTGAAAGGACATGTGTTGGCTTCGCGGTGTCCCGAGGCTGGGAGACCAAAGCAGCAGCCTCAGTGGCCATTCTGGTTCATGAGTGCTGGTTCAGACATTGTTTTACTGGAGTGTCCTGGGTGAATGCGGACAGCCGCTTCCTGCGTACCGTAGCCACAGCCACCCAAGGCAGCGATGAGCCCCTGCTCCACTGCAACCGCACGCCGGGCTGGTGCCCCTTACCACCGCTACTTGTCCCAGGCCCTAGGTCCTTCGGGTTGGCACGCGGTTTCGGAGGTTTCCAAGTGCTGATGCCTCGTCGTTTCTCTGCGGCAGCTGCGGCAGAACTTGCGCTGAGAAGCGTCGGTAGTTCCCGAGGTTGCCGCCTCACAGCCAGTTTCGCGACCCGTCTATCGCCCCGGTCGCCCTGGGGGAGGAGATCGAACTGGAGTGCCATCCACACTATGTGCCCTGGACCGAATTTTGGGTCTGGGTCAAAATTGAACCAGGCGACCGCAGGTTTTAGCCCATGCTTCCATCTACCAGGGCTCCCCAAATGGGTACCCATTTTTTACCCACAGCCGCAAATGCATTTTCATTCCGAGGGTATGGGCTTTGCAGCCTCTCAGGCGATGTTTTGTGGTTGGTGATTTGGACACGGAATTCCAGGCTGAGAGGACCTGACAGGAGGCATGAAAGCTGGCCCAAAATCACACAACTTACAACAGTGAAGGCTTGCCGTCGTTGGGTTGCAAACGGCTCAAGTGTAGAAGTGGCCAGTGGCGGGGGGAAACTGTCCAGGTCTACGACCTGGGCCTGCAGAGGCTGATGTGACGCTCGGCATCGGGCTGTTGACGCAGTTTTCTTCGGCGGACCGTTTCTGAAACCTGCGTTGCATTGCTACCCACGTTTCAACCAAGGCTTTCAAACAAGCCTAACAGCCAGGAATTGGATGTGCGGGTTAACTCCCAGTCCAGAATCCACCGCCTGCCAAGTAGTCCCAAGTATGGAAAAAGGTGTTCGGGGGAATGGTACTTCTGCCAGTTCTATGTCTCGCCCAACTGATGGCGAGGACGGGAGAGGATGATAAACAGATGAGAAGAGGGAGGTAGGACATGTTCGTCTTGAGTCTTTTCCAGGATGCGGCCGTCTCCTAGTCTAGCTCTCTCCTTCACTCGTTCACTCTCTTTCTCTTACGTACCTTCTCTATCTCTTTAGGCTTCACACCCCCGAGCTCCCCCCTTTGTAAGAGGGTGGGGTGGTATGCCGGGTCTTGGATAGAGGCTCTGGGCACATTAAAGAAGCACATATCTCTTTTCGGTTTCCTTCAAGGGAATTCAACCAGTGCGACAGCGCGGGCGATTTGCACAGTTTGGACGTGCGCCTGCCCGGCCCCTGGGGGGGTGCTGGTGTATTTAAAGAATGCCTACCAAATGGAATCCACAACTACAACCGCTCTCTAGAATAGCTTGAAGGGCGGCGGTCCAGTAAAGCCGGCGAGGTTGCAAAGCAGAAGTTTGCAACATTACGTATACAAAGGAAAGTTTGAAAGGTGGTTCCTTGTCATTGCAAGCGCGCTTGGCATGCTTGTTCGCCTTTTTCCATGTCTTTGTCGTCCTGCGCAAGCATGCGCAAAGTGAAATTAGCTAGTCAAAAAGTTAGCTAAATAGTTAGCTAGCTACCTGACCAACTAGTTAGCTAGTTCGAGAGCCACTGAGTTGGCTAGTTAGCTTGACTAACGAGCAAATTACATACGTAGCTTGCACGCTACTCAACTATCTTTCTCTGCTAGCTAGGTTAACTAGCTAGCAAGTTGGTTGGCTAGTCAGCTATCCACTTAAGTTGGCCAGCTGCCCGCTTGGATTAGCTGGTGAACTGAACAGGCTAGCCAATTCGAGGGGTTGGAATTCGCAGTTTAGCCGGGCCTGTGAGCTCTCTACTTGGTTTAGTTCGAAAGCTCGAATGGACAGACGGGCAGCACTTCGCCCGCCCGGACGCGGCACTTCGCGTTGCGCGGCCCAGGCGGCAACTCTGCGAGGGGCGGCTACCAGTGGCGGGCTCCCGACGGCGGTCAGGCGAAGCCCGACATCGCCTGCACCCTGCGCCCTGGCTGTCGCCCAGTGCGTCCGTCGCCGGTGCCAAGGGAGGCTACAATCTGGGGCGACCGTCACGCCCTGTTCCCAAAAAGCGCAAGGTGCTCAGTACTGGCAAACAGCGATTTACACTGCAAAACACAAGTCCATCCCGGCAAGGATGGCGCTCCACCCCGATTCGATCGAGATGGTTCCCTTCTCTCCACAGGCCTTCTTGCAATCACCAATTGTTCGGAGAAAAGGGGAGCGGAGGCTGTCCCAAAACGGAGAGAAGCACGGAGCAAAAGTTGTTGACTCAGCCCCCTTCTGTTCTGCAAGGGACACGAGGAGGTTGCACCAAACCAGGATCTTGCTTTTGTTTCGAAGTGTTCTTATAAATAGATGGGCCCATGTATATAATATATATATATAAACATATGCATAATATACATACATATATATATATATAATATACACATTGATATTATATATATATATACATATATATATATATGTATCGGAAGATGTTAAGATGATTTGCCCGTTTGGAAGGCGTCCGGAAGAACGGAACGGGCCTCTGAGGAACCGGAGCTGGTGCCCCGAGCCGGTCCTCCCGAGCCGCCTGGAGGTGCTGGAGCCCAAGCACCGCGCCATCCACACCCAGGCGATGGGGCAGTCGACACCATCTGAATAGCAAAAAACAGACAGTGCAATATGTAATATGTTATATTTATTCAAGAAACAGAAAAAGCAAAACAACAACAAAGCACAGCGTAAGAAACCAACGGGGTATGAAGTTTCAATTTGTAGGAATACTTATACAATATCACACAGAATAATGGCAATGTGTATTTGTGCTTTTTGTTTTATGAAAGTTAACCAACACAATTTAGTTAGCATCTGAATGCCATATTTTCGAAAATGTAGCGGCATGATTGATTGTAGTTTTGTTTCTGTGAGGTACCATCATTAAGGAGAGAAATCAGGGCCGCTACCCCCGCCCGGGAAGATGTTCAGAACTCTTCAACCAGAGTACTTCCCAGAAGGCCATATGTCCTAAATTATTGTGTTTTCAGACTTGTCGATTTCACAGGAAGGTCTCATGGGTCTTAAGGGTCTCTTGGTCCCCTTTTGTTGTTGTGCAGGTTTATCAAGTCGTGGGCCTCCCATTCATCACATCACAAACATGCCTGGGACACCTAGCCGCATTGCCAACAGTGCGAGCCGACGTGAATGTACTCGTGTTTAGTGTCCTTTCTTTGAGTGCATCCGACTCGTTGCTTTGCAATTGATCAAGCAGCCATTTTGCATTATATCCTGTCAACGTTTCAACGATGGCCAGCCCCAAAGGATATGTGTGTTTCATGAGCCTGTTTGGGAATGGGTCAGTAGACAACCGCTGCGGGGTTGTGAGCATGGCGTCAATGTGGAATTTCATGACATTTTTTGCAGCCTCCACTAACCCGTCCCCCATGCATATGTATGCGTGGTGTGAAGGAGAGCAAAAGTCAATCAACCGCTGTGGGAAAATTGATTGGTCAAGTAGAAATGTTGGCTGATGGAATCGAATCAGGAAGAAGCATTGCATCTTCACACTGCCACTTTGTATGTCATGCAAGCTGCAAGCTCCTTCTACAGCACAAGCTCGCTTCAACTGTCGACTACTTGGTGGGACCTCGGCAGTTTGGCGTTTTTCCGCTGGCCGCTCTGCCAGCGAGCCTCTTTTCCCCAGTTTCGTCTCGTTGAGCTGTTTGAGCGGCATACTGCCCCCCTTTTTGCATTTTGTTTCTTGATTGGGCTCAGGCCTTTGACTCTGTTGACCATGCCTATGTGGAGTCTGCTCTTTTCCGCATGTCCGTACCGGAACCTCATGATGGTTGCACTTGTTTTGTTCGGATGGCGACCACAGTTCTCCCGTGTTCGTTCTCCAACGGGGTATCCGACAGGGCTGTCCGTTGAGCCCTTACCTTTTCATCATTGCTCTTAGTGTCCTCATGCATGACGCTTCTGTCAGTTTCCGTTGCCGTTTTTCACACACCCCTTTGACTTCTTCCGCGGATAACCTGCTGACTGATCTTGAGTATGCTGACGATACAACTTTGATTTCTCGGTCTCTTGCTACGATTCATCGGCTCCTTCACGTTCTCGCTCTGAAGCGTGGTCTTCGCCTGTCTCCCTCGAAGTGTCAGCTACTTGGTATCAACACTGACAACCCTGTCTTCCTGTCAGCTACCGTTTCGACAGTTCGCCAGTGTCGCTGCCTTTTGTTGCTTTGGAGATGATCCTCTCAGCACTCGTGTCGATCCAGTTGACACGGCCAAGTATTTGGGATCGCTTTTGTCCCCTAAACTGCTTCCTCTCAGGCTCACTCTCGGCATCGCCATTGTCAGGCCTCCGCAACATTTTGTTTTATTTGGTCCCCCTTTCTTTCATTACCCCTCCATCACTAACTGTTTTTGCGTTTATTCCCAGATTGTTCTGGCCATCCTTCTTTATAGCTCTGAGTCTCAGGTTTACACGCACGCCCAGCTCACCCGATTTCAAGGCGCTTCGGCAAATTCTAGGTGTTAAAAACAGCTTTTTTCATCGCGTTCTGCAACGCACACTTGCTGCGCTTGGCCCACGAGCAGGCTCCCAGTTTGCGTGGCCCTACCCAGATTCTCTCCCCAAAACGTATTGAATACCTTGGTCATATTCTTCGACATGCTAACCAGTATGAGCACACAGCTTGTTTCTCCGCCCACTCTTACCGACAGATTGCCTCCCCTTCCCGGCGCGGGGCTCCCCGTGCTCACCGGCCTGAAGTGGCCATGACAGAGGCCTACAGCACTCTCCTTCGGAATGCTGGCTCTTTCCTTTGCCTTACGATCTTGCTTGCGATGCATACCAGTGTGGGACCTTGTCCATGGTCAAGCATTGCAACGGACACTCTATGCCCGCTTGGTTTGACAATACTTGGATGTAGCGTTTACTCCACCCTCTTGCTCACGTTCCCAATAGAAACTGTTGTCTTTTCCGAATCGACGCAGATGATTTTTCAAGTGCACTGCTGACATGTGTTCCGCGTGGGACGCACTGTGCTGTTCAAAGAAATGGGCGTGCGTGGGCAATGTCAAAACATAGGGTCGGTGGGAGAGTTCCAAACAAAAGTTACTTGAAGCCAACGTCCAAACTGCCCCCTGACAGCATTCTGAGGTTTCCCCTTGTCAACATCTCAGTTCGACATATGGCCCACTGCTCGCTATCTGACATTTTCTCCTTCAGCTCTTTCTCTGACTCGCTTCGTTCGCCAAATTGTCGTTTGCCAGCAAGTGGATCCATAGGTGTCCTTTTGGTTGGTTTGGTTAAAAAATAGATAAGGCCATCTGGTTTCTCTAGTGGTTCAATAATCTACCAGGGAAATCCATGGACTTTCCAAACAGGGCAGCTATGGTCTTGGAACTTCTCTAGATGAGTTTCAAGAGCTGCTGAGCTGCTAGAGTCAATAGACTCATCCCAAAACTACGTTCCCAACAGGACGCCTAGTGGATGCCATCTGGTTTCCCTAGTGGTTCAATCATCTACCAGGGAAACCCATCGATTTTCCAAAAAGGATGCCTAGTGGATCGCTCTAAGTGGATCGCCGGCCCAGCTGCGCCTGGGCTGCCCCCGCGGCTACCGCCCCATCGGCGGCCACGGCTTTGGGCGCTGCGGGGCGAACGGCTGGTGCTCCGCGGAAGGTCGGGCAGCGAAGGGGTGGCAGAAGCGAACCAGAGACATTGCCATCGCACAGGAACGAACAGTATTGCCATTATTGAAATCGCTACGCGATCCGCCGACGCCAGTGGACAGTCCCCCATTAACAAACTGCAGGGTGCCTCAAGTTTGGGGTCAGGAAAAAGACGTCTTTTTGCCTAGGTCATTTTTCATGTCCCAGATGCTGAGGATGCTGGAAATGCAAGGGATGCAGCCACATAACTTACAAGAACAAACCCAATCTGCACCCTCAAGATTTTAAGACTCTCACACACGCGACATTGACCAAACACAGAAAATACGAGAGTTGTGGGGAATGCTGGGAATGCAGCCTGCTACCCACAAAAAAGTGAAGAAAACAATACAGGGTTTTTCAATATTTCCCAAAAGCAGCCTCAAATACCCTAAGAATAGACTTCCAATAGCACGATAATGCAGGGGATGTTTCGCAGTAACTGCTCCGTACAGGTGGGGAATTGCAAGAAAACTCATTTTTTGCAGATTTCAACAGTTCCTCAAGTGTCACTGCACTTGGCTTCACCCAAACCCCTATCAGGCCAATTCCAACATCGCTTGAAACAGCAACACGCCACTAGTATCTGCAAAAGAAAGAGACAAATTCATGGCAACAAGATAATCCTGATGATGCTGGGGATGCAGATTCTGTCCGGGGGAACCCCCCCCCCTAGAGACCTAGGCGAAACGCAGATGTCTAGCACGAAAGACCCAAAAAACACTGGAAAATACAGGGTTTTGGACACGTAGCACAGCATGCCCAAAAAATAGCAGTCCCAAAAGCCTTCAGCTTTGATAAGAGATTCCGAAGGAAGACCAAGTTGCGGACTGCCATCTACACGCTCGACTGGCGTCGGCGGATTTATTGCCATATTATATTCACATATGTTGCCATATATTGCCATATTATATTCACACATATTGCCACATATGCTTATTGTTTTCTTGTCGTGTCGCGCGTGGTCTTTATTTCCCCGAAGTCTTACCCCGAGGGCCCACGGAGCCCTGCACCGAGCCGCCGGACTGGCTCCGTTGTGCCGCTCGGCTCGGGGCTTCGGGGCTTCGGGGCTCGGGAGGCCAAAGGGAGCGGCTGAGCCGTGGGAAATGACTCTTTTTGTGGTCGCGCTGAGCGTTTTTTGTTTCTCTCTGAGATTTGGGGTGTCTGAAACTTCGCTACACAACTCTGGTGTCACGATGCTTGTGAGTCTGCGTGCTCTTTCTTTCTTTGCTACCGGGCAGACCGCAGAAACATTTTGAAGTTCGTAAGTAGTAAGATCCGAAGTCGTAGAAGGGTAGAAGGTCAATTGACGACATGTGGTAGCTATTTGACATTGGCTGTGAAGCATTTGTTCAGCCCTCCACTACCTGAGGAGCTCATCCCGGGCTACTGCCCTCCGTGGCCGGGCAATGAGCATGGGAGCCCCTACAACAGCAGCTCCGCGCCGGAGGCGCGCAAATCACAAAAGCCCCAGGCGAAGCCAATGGCACGTAGCCTTTAGGTTAGATGAGAAATAGATGGCGCTGGTTTAGGTGGGGTTGCTTCCATGTACCAGGGCCATCTATTTTTCCAAAAGCTCACCTATGCACGTAGCACGTAGCGTGATGCAGTTGCCAGGTCATCCCGGTCATCGACCCCTTGGCGCACGTCTTCCTGCGCCAAGTCCGGCAGCTGCCGCTGCCCTCTGGCGCTTTGGGTAACCTGGCGGAACACCTGTGGCAGGCACAGCATTTGCATCTGTCAGAAACTCAAGGTTTGCCACCTGAAGCCGCCGTGTTTTCAGCTACTGGCAGTATCTGGCAGTAGTTCTTCCCTTCTCCCTGAGCGCAGACGGGACGCTGGTTGAGGTGACTTCGTGACCTTGAGCTGCCCGCAGTACTTCTCCCGCGCCTCCGGGGACACGCGCTTCAAGTGCGGCCATGGCCTGCATGGTCGCGGCCAGTGGAAGCTCGGATTGAAAGCATTCACCCCAGGTCCCCTGGTCCCCTGGTCCCCTTTCGTTCGATCTGAAGTAGCTTTGCAGAATGGGGGCCTGCCTTCCGGGCCAATGTAAACTGAAATACATCGTCCTGTTCGCTGAGTATAGTGAGTGTTATCGTCAAGGCTCTGGAAGGAAGCCGGACTCGCCAAGACTTGGCGCATAAATTGTCCCCCAGGCAGCGTGACCTACTGCCGGTGCCAGAGTACGCGGACAACAGTCCCCTGGCTGAAATGGATCAAATGTCTGACTATCCACGCGATAGGGTGCATTGTGCGATCCAAACTTGCTTCATGATCTGGGCGGTCTCAAGTTAGGTTGGCCTGTGAGTTCCTTGGGAGAGTCTCGCATGAGCCGTCTTTTGTCCCAGTGCATGATTGGCCGCTCGTCAGTGTCCATTTGTCCGACAGGTACCCTGGATGCTGTTATCCAGCTGGTGGACGAAGCCACCGCCGAGCCTTTGGTTTGCGAGCTGGAGACCAAGCGCCTTGGCCATGAGTGCGGGTGTTTGCCTACTCACCGTGTTTTTCCATCTTCAATAGAACCTAAGCAGCCAAGCCGGTTCAAGTTGGCTGCAGCTCAGAAGATGCTCGCGCCTGGAATCATGCTTCTGTTGTGAGCTCTTAAAATCGCAGATTCTGAGAAGGATTGCAGCACGACAACCTGTTCTTGCTTCAAAAGGAGACATGGCTATCTCAACGAAACGCACGATGGGTCGAAAGGGGTGTTTCATGCTGGAAACGACGGGGAACCAAGGTCCGCCACTTCCGGCTGTTGCAAATGGAAAGTAGCCTGCTTTCTGGCTGGGAAATTAGTCGAAGTGATCTCTTCAGTAGGCATGAAGCGAATCCCACGAGGGGAATTTGTTTGTATTGGTTTGTTGTCTCAATCCCATGCCGACCATTTGAACTTGTTAGCTTGATCTACAATTAGTCCATGTCAGTCCAGTGTCCACTGGAGCGCGTGTATGGTTGTCCATCTTTCTTGAGCCTTTCGAGGAAGGGCGTCCGGCGGAAGTACTACGACCGCCTGCCTGGCCTCTTCCGGAACCACAGCTTGTCGGGCTACGACGTCGTGCCCGGATTCGAATGGACTGAGAGTTGCGTAGGGCCAGGATTGCATGACTTGCAGGGCTCAAGTCAGCATGGCTGGCATGGCTGGCATGGCGACCCTAACCCAGCAGCCAATGAGCCGCGCTTACAGCTGGCCGTCCCACTTCGGAGACGAACAGCCACACCGCCTTTCCAAGTGCGTAGCCAATTTCTGCTTTGGCTTTCAGTTGGGCAAACCTTGGCGTGGACGCTAGTTGTATTGCAAATAGTGCAGCTGTTCATAAGGAAAGTCACAGGAGGCTAGCCTGTGTACATTGCGGACTCACATGAAACTCTTCGCCACACGAGAAAAACAAACACACACACACACACTCACACTCACACAAACACTCACACTCACACTTACACTCACACACACACACTCACACTCACACTCACACTCACACTCACACTCACACACACACATACACATACATACACATACATACACATACACACCCCACACACACACACACCCCACACACACACACACACACTTGGTTTGGCTGCCCGGGGGCAGAATAGGCATGGGATCTGCGAGCATTGCCAGTGGTGTCTGTTCTCTTGACATTCGAGGGAAAACGTAAACGAGAAAGAGTTTCGCCCTGGAAAGCCAGCTAGGGCTCGTCAGTTAGACTCGCTTTCCTGTCTAAGACTCTTTGAGTCAAAAAATGTTTCCAATGGCAGTACCTCGGTAAGCAGGACCTTAGTATACAGGTGTCTCACACACACACACACACACCAGATGCGGCCGTGCTGATGTTGTGGTGCTTGCAATTTGGTCAACCTGCAATGCGCAGGTGCCCTACATCAACCAGTTTGAGTCGGCCTATGATGCGGCGCAGTTTGAGTCCAATCTTCGGCCGGAGCTGGCTGGCAACTACACGCTCTTTGGCCAGGGACAAGCTTAAGACAGATAGGCGGCCAGTTTGGCAGTCTCTTTCTTTCTTTTTCTCTCTCTCTCTCTCTGTCTTTGCGGGTTGAATGTCTCCACTGCCCAAGAAAGCAGGTGTAAGCCAAGCCAAGAAAAATATGGGAGAAAGCTCTTGCTCAGGCTCAGTGTGGAGGTGCTGGGCGCCTTTGTGCTCAGCTGGCAAGGCCAGCTGCTGCTGACAGGCCGATCCCAAGGCTCGGGTCCCGTCCGAGAGCGCTTTTGGACGGCATCAGTCTGGACCATAGGTGTCCTTTTTGTTTGGTTACACAAATAGAAGGCGATTCCTGGTTTACCTAGTGGTTCAATCATCTAGGGCCATCTATTTTGCAAAAAAAAGACACCTATGATCTGGACGCTCCGACGTTCTTGGCCCGTCCAGCGAGAGACTCTGAGACACTCAGCGCCGCTCAGCGCTCAGCCAGGTCTCTTTCCGGAGACATTCAACACCTCGTCGCTTCAGCTGGACAGCGAGACGTTCTACTCCTTCAACCTGGAGTACTGGGCAGACCCCTTGCTGTCGCCTGGATGCAGAGCTCAGTTTCCTGCATGTAAGGTGTAGGATTTCTTGAGGCGAAGGCAGGCCAGTAGCTGTGCCCGCTGGAAGCCAAATTCAATTTCGGTTTGTTACGTATACCAAGAGGATGTCGCCCGTGGCGGCTCTTCCCAGCCATTCTTGCTTTTGGTTTGTCAAATGCATCACTAGACGCCTTGCGTAGTTTGCGGCCAAGGCCGGATCGCACGAACCAAGAGATGCTGACCTTCCCTCGGCTGCTGCGGCTGCTTTGGAATGGTCCTGCCGGGGACATGCAGCCAGTGCCATACACGCAGCTGCAACTCAGCAAGGAACCTTAGCTTGGCAGGTTACGGTGGTGGTGATGATGATGATGATGAGGATGGCGACGGCGGCGATGGCGACGGCGGCGGCGGCGACGACCATGACGCTGATGCTGATGCTGATGCTGATGCTGAGATGCTGATGCTGATGCTGATATTGATGATGATGTGGTTATGGTGATGATGATAGTGGTGGTGGTAGTGGTGGTTCTGCTGCTGCTGCTGCTGCTGCTGCTGCTGCTGCTGCTGCTGCTGCTGCTGCTGCTGCTGGGGTGCTGATTATGATGATACGGTGGTGATGGTGATGGTGCTGATTATGATGATACGGTGGTGATGGTGATGGTGATGATGTGGTGGCGATGGTGAATGTGATGGTGATGGTTTGTCGTGGTGATGGTGGCGTCAATCCACTTGGCTGTGGATGGTCATCAACGTGCATGTTGGGTTGTGGGGTGGATTTGCTTCAGGTACCATTCCTTTGACAAGTTGTACGGCTATCCCATCACCCACAACGGCATCAACGACCCGCAGCCGTGCGATTCAAGCACCACCGTGTCCATGACAGGCCCCCGGAAGCTGGGGGCGCGAATTTGTTAAGCTGGGAGAAATTTGGCGAACTTGTTCTTTGACTTGTCGTTGTCAAGCCGCAGGTTTGCTGGTTGGCAACAACGGCACCATTGTGGATGGGTCCTGGGGCTACAACTACAACGAGGCACGCGGACAACAAGTGCAATTTTGTCCGGAACAGAGAGACAAGGGCCCGGCAGACGTCAAACAGGGATCCCTCCATTTCCTCTTTTTTGACCTTCAAAAGTGGCAATTTCAATGGAAACCGCCGGTCAACTGCATGTCAATTGCAACTTGTGAAGGGGAATTCCAGTGACCCCGAGCGTCCTTTTTCCACAAAGAAGCACTGTCAATCCCACATGGGGATTCTTGGCCATGCCAGATTTGGCGAAAGCTGCAATTTGTCCTTGTCACAAGGCCGGCCTTTGTTTTGCGTGGCAGGATCTCAATTGCAATTGGCTGCTTGAAGCGACTGCCAATGTCCGCTTCACCATCTTCGCGAACTTTTTCGACGTCGTGGGCACGGAGGGCTGTGCAGGCTCGTTCCCTCGCTACAGGGTCGAAGCTGACGCACCTGGTTCATTTGGGTTGCCAGGGATGGTTGTCAACCCATTAGTTGGGAGCTAAGTTGCAAGCTTTTTAAAGATCTCTGCCAAGGGAGCATGGCACATGAATCCCATGAGGCGTTTGGCTGACATGGGCTGCGCCTGTTGAGGTGTTGGGAGAGTCTTCGTGCTTTGAAGGCTTGCATCAGCCAAGGAATCACGTGGCTCACTTTTGTGGTAATGTGTCCGAAGGAGTCGAAGATGTTGGTTGCCAGACATGTACGTTTTGTTTTTGCAGGGCTCCTTAAGAGATACATTGTTTTTGCAACTATTTGGCTTTTTCAACACCAAAACAAAGCTGGAAACCACCCCAAATAGACAAGTTGCAATGTTCAGGTGTATAATGCATCCGGATCCCTTTTGGTGGGGCGAACAAATTACTATGGAGGTTGGTGCCCTTCAAACCATCATGTAATAATGGTCAACCCCTGCTTTTGGCTTTTTTGTTTTGCTCTTTTGCTTCAGATCCGAGGCGACCGCCTGGAGTTCTACGTGGGCCGGGGAAACACCTTACGGCTCCTGGGCAGCGTGTGCGGATCCTATGAGAGTGGCACCGCCCTGGTGCACACCTCTACCAGGCGCGCTTGGCATGACTTTCTGGAATCACTGTTTCGGGTCAACCTATCAACCACCTGAACCCTGTATATGTAGAAAGGTCGCTCTTTTTTTGGTTGAGCTTCGTGGTGTCAAGCCTCTTCTTGCCGGTTGCCTGAGAAGGCCGTCCAGAACGGGATCGCGCTTTTGGACACATGGGAGTGGGTCAAAATTAAACCTCCAGGGTGCCACTTGTTTTTGGTCCATGTTGCCACTTACCAGGGTTCTGACCCACAGCCACGTTGTGTAGAGAGTCATGGTCGATGGGGCACACAAACAACTAAGACATGATGGTTACAGAGGAGGCCAAACGGCGACGAGCGTGAACCGACTCGGCTGCTTGGCCGTCAAGTTTCGTCGAACAGCCGACGATCAGGCAACTGGTGATCCGGTTTGTCACCGACTACGCCTTGGAGAGGGAAGGTTTCAACATCTCCTGGTGCCTTGTCAGAGATTAGAGGCTTTGATGTCAGAGTAATATCTACTCCAGAAGGCCAGTCCCGATCATCACGAAGGAACCAGGGTCGTTGTGACAAGCGATGGAAAACGTGATTGACCTTGAGGCAGACGCACGTGTGTGACAAGCCGATGGCACCGCTGTCGTAGACCTGTCCATTTGAGTCTCAAGATTGACATGGGGTCCTGTCAGAACCTGCAAGTGGGGAATTTCGTCAACGTTAAACATGCGCAAAATCGGTACCGACTCGTACGCATTGTTTGGCCCTGTGTTTCCTAGATAAATATGACTCACATGGTTGGCATGTGTCTATTCTTCCAAACTCTGTGATCTAGATCGCATTTGGGCTATAGATAGTATTGGCTGTAGCACCCATGTTTGTCTCAATTGTTGTTGCGTGGTCGGCAAGCCGCATGATGCCTTTTGTCCTCTGAATATGATATGGGTTGCCCGCTTTAGCACTTTAGGCTTCCAACTCAAACAGAACGCCGCACAGCGAGAGGAGTACCAACTCAACAAGAGAGAGAAAGAGAGAAGGCAGACTGCTTTGCAGAAATGGAGTTTGCCAAGACTTTTGAAGATTCGGGCAAGATAATTACAAAGACATGACTGTGTTTGACACCACTCGCTGCTCAGGATCGTGACCCAAACTGACGACATTATCGCACCAAACCCCATCGTGTCTGGTGTGTACGAGCCTCAGAGCTTTGCTCTGTCAATGATCAAACAAGTTGAGAGGGTGTACCTGTGCAAAGGGGATCGTCTAAGATTCGAGCCAACAGACTTCTGTGGGTTTTTTTGGAGGGAAGCCAACAGGAGAACAGCTTATAACAGCTCTTCTTTTTCGGGACCCCCTGTTTTTGGAGACACCCATTCCCACCAAGCGCTCAACCCCTTTCAATCTTGTGCTGGGAGTCTTGCAACAATTTTCGGGTCAGCAAAGTGGACAGATCTATGCATCTTGCCAGGATCAACTGAGCCAAGCGCTGGGAGTCTGACAACTCACCGCTGCGTTTGGCCCTGTCTAGGCAAGAAGTGGGCGCCCCACAAGGATCAGCTGAAATTATTCCAGTTGCTTTGACAGATCGCTTATTCCTATTGCTTTGTGCCTGGAAATTCAACCAGAGCCTGCGGAGCCCCTGTCAAGTTGACAGATTGGAAGGAATTTCTGCAGGGCCCTTGAGTCAGCGGACTTCGGGCGCCATGTGGGCGGTCTGAGTGTGTCCTTTGCCTCCGAATGGCGGCGAAGAGCACCAGGTCGAATGGTCGAATGGTCGAAGAGAAAGTTTCGCGTGTATGCGACATGTGGCCATGGGTCAAAAGCCCGTACCCCCAGTAAACATCCCAATCCCCACTAAAGTAGACTAAATGGGTGGTGCACCTACCCCAAAATGGTACCTTTGCCAAGCACCCAACTGCACGTTAACGCCTTTGCATCCAACTGCTTGCGAGAGAAGTCTTTGGTTTCCGGCATGCAAGGCAAGACACAGTCTAGATACACACGGGATAGAAGGGATGGCAGGAATCCAGCGGCGCGTGGGCACCGGTTCTGAATTGGATTTCAGAAGCTGCACAGCCTTTGCGCAGAGGGACCTCCAAATGATCTGCTTGGGTACTTATTCCGATTGCGCATTTTGCTGGAACGCTTTGCGGCATATTTGGAAGTACCCTCATCAGCGATGCGAACCTTGTTGGGTAGCACGTGCAGCAGGATGTAAATCTGACATGCTTGAATCGCGCCCGTCAGGTGTTTATACTGGCTCCGGCAGGTTATGGTCAGATTCACTATGCATTGCCGAGCATGATCTGTTTCGAGGCTGTCTACCAAATAATGTAAAGCCAACATCCCATTTGAGTCTGAAGTCAAGTGGTTCTTTTACTGACCCCATCTTCGTCAAGCTGATTGCTTCAAGATGGGTACCAATGGAACAGAAGAAGCTTGGCAGCAATGATTGCAAGATGGCTGGTGCCACGCATCAATGTCAGCATCCAGTTGACACCTTCTATTGCGCAAACCTGAACCAGCTGTTGGCCGATGCTCTTGTCAGGACAAGCTCCCCATTTTCTTCGTGGAGAACCCTGACGGGCTCGCGCCTTGAGAGCGAGTCAACTCGCTGGTTCGGAGCGAGAGCTCGGTTTGTTTCAGGACCATCGATGGCGTGGCAGGCTCAGACTCCATTGCGCCGCCGCCCGCCAACCCGCGGCTCTGGTGCCACCACTGCAACACGCAGCTGGAATTGCCCCGGCCCCGGTGTGGAATTGCATGGCAATGGTTCTAAGATATTCGTCCAGGAGCTCGCATGCTTTTGAGCTTGCACGTTCATTGCTTTCTGAAAGGACGTATGTAACGGGAATTCTTGGGCACACCCGGTGGGCATGTCACTCTTGAGAGGTTTGCTCTATTTCGGGAATGCAAGAGCTTGTGGGCAGATTGTTTTCATAAAGCTGTCGTTTGAACCCAGTTGGGAGTGGGTCAAAATTAAACCACCAGGATATGGACCGCAGGTTGTAGTCCAAGTTTCCATTTACCTGGGCAAGCCATTTTGGGTACATATTTTTGACCCACAGCCAGTTGGCTTCGATGTGCTGACTTGGCATTGCCCCTCCGCCAGTGCCGCCGGAGCATCCTACGTGCAGTGCTACCTTTGCAGGACTGGAGCCCCAGCTGCGCAGCTGGGAATCTGCAAGAACTGTCAGAAACATAGGTGTCCTTGTTGGTTGATTTGGTTCAAAAATAGAGGGCCCTGGTTGGTGCATTTTGCCAAGGGTTAGGACTTCAACTGTTTGCCAACTACCGGGCTTCCCATTAAACCACCAAAAGTTGGACTTTTAGCAGGGGAGCAGAAATAGGGGGCGATTCCTGGTTTACGTGGTGGTTCAATCAACTACCAGGGCCATCTTCCCAAAGTGGAAACCGATGGTCAGAACTTCCGTAGATGAGTTCCAAGAGCTGCTAGAGTCAATAGACACATCCCCAAACTAACCCCAAACCACCCTTGAAACAAATCGGAGAACCCAGCATCCTGAACCAATCCTGAGCCTTAAACAATCCCGAAACAGGCCAAAACTCAACCCCGGCCTGAGCCAACCGCAAGCCACCCCAAGCTCAACCCTGAACCAGCGCTGAATCGACCCCTTGCAAGGCAATGGATTCAAACCCAAGCTTACTTAACCACCGGCATCCGCCCTAAACACACTAAGCCCATCCTCAAACAATCCGGCCTAAAAGCACCCTGTCAATCAACCCTCAACCACCCCTACACCCACCCTAAGCCGCCTAAACACGGCCATTCCGCTCTTGACCCAGCCTAAGCTCCTCCTAATCCAGCCTAAACCAATCCTAAACCTAACTATCCAAGCCCCCTAAACAACATCCTCGGCAACTGGGCCAATCCTAACCCACCCTCAACCAATTCCTAAATTAACTCTAACACCAAACGAATCCCTTCACCAACCCGAAACCAGTGAGTAATACATCGGCCCCTACACGTGATCTACATGCATGGCGAAAAGACTCAATGATGTAGCGATCAGCCGGCAAAAAGTAGTCAGCGTCGAGTCCTTTGAGTGGATCGGGTGGGTCGATGCGCAAAAAAAAGCGCGACATGCAGCGGGTCCATGCGCAAAAAACTCGCGCGGCATGTCACTTCGGCTTTCTGGATGAACCAGTTGCGTTGATGGGGTGGGTCAGGTTTGCAGATACCTCGCGGTGTTGTGGCCATAGGAAAGCCCAGGAGCAGAGCAAGTGGAAACTGTTCCTGTTGCTGAGATCTACACAATCTCAACACGAAGGCCCACATCGGCGCAAGGCGGCATTACTTGTCAGTCGCCGGTTCAAGATGCGCGGAGCCTCCTTTTTTGGCCACTGGCAAGCGCCCCGCTCGACGACGCAGTGAAGGTGGAGGCGGCGAAGATTTGCGAGGGGTCTCATGTTGAGGCGCAGCGAACATCTACGCATTCTACGCCATGCCCGCTGTGACGCTCCGAGCCTACCGTGGCACGGGAGGCTGCAAAGCTGGAGCAGCTCTTGACCATCCTCGGCAACGCTTCTTCATGTTTTCCTTGGGTGGCTGCCCCGCCTTTGCCACGCCCGCCTTTGAAGCAGCTTCACTTGGAACGCTCAGCTAGGTGTGCGGATAGCACGTCGGCGTCCAAGCGTGTGCGCGTGGCTCGTTGAATCCCGATAATCTTTATCTAAGCGGTTTCCTGAATAGCTTCCGCGGAGGGAAGGCCCTGCATCGCGAAAGCTGAAAGCGTTTTCCAAGAACTCGGTCCGCCGAAAGGGCTGCTTGTGTGTTCAGACGGCGCTTGGGGCAGCGCGGAAAGAGCAGGCATTGACCGTGCGAGAAGTGCGAGAGCATGCATTTCCTCATCCAGTGCGCACAAGCTGTTTGCTCTGCGAAAGGTGTGGGTCCAGGATCCAAGGCGTGGCCTCTTTCGCACACGATTCTTGTGCTGAAACGTTGCCGTTTTGGAGCTGGAGCTGCCAAAGTGCACTTGGCGTGATACGCTTGTTTTTGTGCTGAAAGGTTGCCCTGCCAACGTCACGGAGCCGCCGCGAAAGCGCCGCGAAAGGGTTGATGCAAAACAAGCCGCCTTGAAAGGAAAGCTCGCCCCCGCGAAAGCTTCCTGAAAGCTGCGCGAAGGATTGCTATGAGGGTATATAACTATAAATCTCGATCGGTGTTGCAAACTCGGCCCGCAGGAGAGGCAACGATAGAGCGACAGCAGGAACTTCCACATTGATTCTGAAAGCAGTTTCAATGCAACATTCAAGAGAGCCGTCATGGCCTTGTAAGCGTTTGCCAGTGTTTTTTCGAGTGGCTCGGGGGAGGGGGAAGCCGATCCGCGACCGCAGAAAGGCGACTTGTGGAAGAGAGCTGGCAGCTGTCCAGGACAATGAACGCTGTGCACACCGGAAGCCAACTGGGTGGCCGTACAATGAATATGCTGTGCACCGCCCGGCTCTTAATACCCCCAGCTGATCTGCTAGAGACACGATGGCGCGGGATTGCGCGAGGTTTGTGGGACCTCCAACTTAGCGCCGTGGGGCACCGCGTGGCCCTGGCGTCTTCAGAGCAAAGGGGCTGATGGGGGCTGGGGGGGTACAGAGGGGCAGGTGGCACATGTTTTTTTTGCGAAGGGCCCAGTGTGGCAGGTACGTTCGGTGTGGCCAGTGCAACACGGTTTCCGATTCTCAGCTGCAGTTTCGCGGGAAGCCCCTGAGCAGGCCAATCCTTCACGTGCCTTTACGCATGTGGCTGAACATTTGAACAATTTGGCCAGCATTGCATTTGATGCCAGTATCTTGCTCCAAGGATGTGACACACATCTATACCGGCCCGAGCAGCTGCCTCAGATTGGCATTTGGCATGCGATAGTAGTCCATTGCTCTGAGACCGATGACTGCAGCCGAAGTGCTGCCAGTGAGCCTAGCTGGGTTTCGTTCAACAGCACTTTCTTGCAGAAGTACATTTGTCGGGCGTTATATATAGAACATACAGCGCGTACCATAACATTGATCGACCGGCGTCGCTTGCTTGTTGTTCAACGTTCGGTCAAAAGTTTCTGGAACGAAGCACTGTGATGCCAAGCGCAGTTTCACACCAGCCCTTTCCGGGGGGACAGCCCATGGAAAGCAAAATCGTCGACTTACCACAGCCACGTCTTTTGTCAGCTGCAAGTTGTCGAGTTGCCACTGAACATCACCATGCTTCCAAGCGACGGTGCTCGCCTCGCTTTGATGGCTTTGAAGGGTGTTTTGCTCTTTATGAAATTGCACCCTTCGCCCTCAACCACGTTCTTTTTCAAGAAGTACTGGCATTGCTAGAATGCATACGGCTGTTCTTTTTGTTTTGTTTTCCGGTTTCTTGCCTCAAAGTTCCGGGGTCCTGACAAACTCGCATGTGGATTTATCTCATCGCGGAATCCCTTAAATTGGCCCCTGAACCTTCCGTTGAAAGCCGGGAAAGGGTCTCCAAAACACACCCAAACGGGTGTGTCTCAAAGTGAGGAACACCCCAAGTTGAATGGGTTGGCTTTCCTTTCGGCCGCCTTGTTGGTGCTCCAAATGACACTCTGCTCGTCGGCACGTCGGTCGCAGATCTTCGAGAGAGTAAATATCTGGCAGAATGCACATCAAACCCGACCCCGAGCAGCCCCTTCAGCAGCTGAACGTTGAACAGGCAAGATGACAAGCATCGTGCAACCTATTTGAGTCTTTAGCGGATCCTTTCGGGGCCAACGTGTCTTCGGGCTGTGCCGCCCAACTCGTCGTCCCAAGCGGATGCCGCAGCCATTGGCTCCCAGGGGCGGTCCGCCGGAAACCCGGGAGGCTGTTGCGCTTTGAGTGTTTGTCGAGCAGGTCGGCATGTCGCTTCAGCCTAGCAGAAAAGCACACCAGCCCCTAACCCAGTGTTACAATCATTATGCCTCGTTCACGGGCAGAAGTTGTAGCTCAGGAGTCAGGATGTTGTCGTTGGCTGTCAAAGCAGGGGCTTTTCGCAGCCATCTTACAAAGCAAGAAACGCTTGGGAATTCTGAGACTTGGTCGTCCACACTGTAACTTGCCGCCCAAGCACGCCCACAGTTTTGTTAGTGGCAAGGCAGCATGTTGAGCTGCGAGCTCAGGTCTTTGTGTAGACATGCTGAAGACTCAGGCAGGGTTTGTGAGCGAAGATATCAAAGCTCCGGCGAATTGTGAAGCTCCTTTTGTCATAGCCGGTGCTGCTACGCATACAGAGTTGCTTCAGGCTGCTCAAAAGAGAGCCAAGCGTGTTTGTTTCTGAAGCACGTCCCTTTGATTTTACCAAGAAACTGTAGTTACCCAATCTGATTTCCGAACCACAACCAGACCTCACACGAACTCAGGCAAGGGTTTGTTCCCCGTACCGTGCACGTTCAGACAACTCTCGGATTGGATATGTGGCACTCAGCAACCGCATGGCTCAAGTCGACGGGCGCGTCGGCGTGTTGTACATCGACCAAAAAAGTTTCAGTGGCGCATGTCAGCATGTCAATGGTTGACTGATTGTTACCCAATTCATTGGCGATATTGTGTTTGTGCGAACTAGCTTCACAGATGCTGTGAAGCACAGACCACGCCCGGCGCCTGGCGTTTTTGTGCACCCTCAATTTCTGCCTCGATTCAGCCATGGCAGCAGCAGCAGTGGAGAAGTTCCTGGCAGAGAATTCGGTGGATGAGCCTCAGACTCTTTGGTCAGTCGGCACTTCCTAGTGGAAATGATGGAAATGATAGAAACGAAGGAAACGATGGAAATGACAAAGTGCAGGTACAACAGGCATGCAGAGTGCCAACATGTTTCATCAAAAGCAGGGTGAGGTACTCATTGATGCACCGCTTGCTTGAATTCTTTGCAGCAGCGCTTTTGCCAGAATTGTGCGACAACTTGACAGCTGCAGTGTCTGAGACTCGTTTCAGGCTGTGCCAACAGTCATGCAGTGCCTGACCCAATGTTTGAGCTGAGTAAACTGCAAGGCTAGAGAGGCCAAAGATAGGCTATGTGTCTCAGCGCCGTAGGATCGCGCCGCGTCTGCCCTGCGGAATGCTGCGCCGGATGTGCAGATGCAGGCATCTTGTCTCATCTTGTTGAATCTGCGCGAGCAATCCTTTGAACCCGCTGGTTTCTGTTGTGTTGTGTGGCTGCTTTCCTCTTACATAGTGCTCACTTCCGCGGACAGGCAACAGGCTTTGCTGAATAGCTATGGATTTTGTTCCCGATGTTTAATTGGAACTGGATCAGAACGGCAGATCCAATGCGCAAACCTGAGATGGGTCTGGGTCAAAATGAAACCACCAGGGGACCGCAGGTTTTAGTCCTTGGTTCCATGCACGAGGGTTTCATTTTGTGTACCAATTTTTGACCTACAGCCATATGTTAATGTGGGCACTCCCGACTCGCGCTGAAGACACGGGTTGGTTACGTGACTCACGTGTTCAACGCATCCTGAAGGAGTCCTGATTGCTGACGTATCGCTTTGACGGTTGACGTATCGCTAGGCGATGGAGCGCGGCTCTCTGTCGGATTGCAAGAATCCCTCTGCAGCCTTGATGGTCCGCATCAATGGATCAGCTGGAAGCCCCCAGGCTGCACAAGACACACGCACACACACATACACCACATCAGGTCAAAGAGGATCTTGCGCTTTGCGAAAAGCAAAAAGGAAACACAGAGTGACAAAGTTCTCCGGGCAGTTCCCGCAAATTAATCTTGTTCAAGCGTTGTGTGCCACTTGAAAAAAGTCTCCTTGGGATGTTTGTTTCACTTGGTATTCTCCAGCAATCCGCTGCCAATGAGCCTTTCCAAAAGCTTAGAGTCTTCCCCCCTGAAAAGGGAAAAGAAGCAAGTAACGGAAGCTTGGCTGACTGACGTTCTTGTTCAAAATGATCTTTGTATGCCTGGCATGATTGCTTCACGATGCCGAAGAAGTTCGAGAAGTATCAGAGCATGGATGACTCGGCGTTACTGAGTCAAGAAGCTCTTTCACGATCAGAAGGATCACTGTAACCATCCTGATTGCCAACGGTCCCCTTGGCAAGACACCCCAGTCTGACCAGATGATCGTTCACTCTACGAGCTAGAACGCAGTGAGCGTGAGTATTGTTTCTGACACTACATAAGCGCAATTTCTCGTTCAGCGCAATTTTTGAACTGATCAACAAAACGAGGAGTTGCCATGGGGAAACAGGAATGATCCGAGCCTTTCAAGGATGGCCAAAGCACAAAGGTAGGACATTAGTTTGGCGAGTTTCCTTTTTCTTTGAAACCCTGGGCAAAGGCTCCAAGTATATGAGAGCTCGAGTGTATCGAAACCTACAGCCTTCCATAGCAGATTGCCCTTTCAACGGACATTTGTTTGGCGGAAGGGGCAAATGGCAAATCACCGTCTTGAGTAAGAATGCTTGTCAATGCTGTTGGAAAAGCTCCGGGTGTCTTTCCCTTCTCCGGCCACTTTTCTGGTGCATGTACTGTGTTCCTCTTGCTGGTGTAGCATCGGTCCAGTCAATCCTCTCAGCGCCTGTGTACAGGAAATGTTCTGCTTGGGGAAAAGCGAAGTCGTGCTTTAACGAATTGTCGATATCAAGTCTACTTCAAGTATTTATGAAAACAGCAACGTAGCAAATAGAGATCTCTCATTTATTCTTTATTGTTACATCCGACAGCCTACATAGTCTGGGCCTGTTGCGACAGTTGTTCAAGGAATGTGGACTGACATCGGGGACTCTCCCCACACGAGTCCACCGCATTCATTACTTGGGCTTCATTCGGTGCCTGTCCGAGATGCCAACACGACCGGTTTGTCTACCCGAGAGATGCAGGGCTCGCCGGAGGAGATTTGGGCTGCCTGGCTATGCAGGGCTCCTTAAAAGACACATTTTGCCCATTTGAAGCATGGCTTTTTCCAACAAAATAAAGGGAAACCACCATTTACAAGGCAATGTTCAGGTGTGTAATGCAAGGATCCCTGCTATGGAAGTCACGTCCTGTAAAGCATTCCAAGCGTCGGTTTATGTCGGTTTCAGAAAAGGAAAAAGAAAAACAAACAACATAGCGACCTGCCTTTGCACAGAGCTACCATCTCTTTGTTTGCCTCACGCCCCTGCATATGGGCATGCGTTGCCTTCGGAAGTCTTTAGAGGCTAATGATTCACCATGACCAGCACTCATCAATGACTCCTCTTGTGATGCTGTTGCTCAAGCCGTTCCTTGACGAACCCCAGCGAGTGCCAGCTTAAGCAGCGCAGCGGCTGCAAGCCACGGTTTGCTCGTTTGCAATGAGGCCAAGATCATGGCCAAGAACAAGACCGGCCTGGTGCTCGGAAAGATGGCTCGAAACGTCCCCATGAGGGCCTGTGGTGTGACTAGAGAAGGCGAAACTTAAAATATCGGAATCAATCAATGAATAACAGTCAAAAGATGAAGTATTATTAGTTGCGCAGCGAGGATGTCCTTCTTAGGAAAGTGTTGGTGTTCTCATCCAAGCATAGCTAGCGATAGGATTGCTCATCAATTTGCTGATTTGCCCTGGAACAAGACGGACACTTACTACTTCATCATTTACCCCATAAGCCCATAAGCCAACAATGGCTTGCGCTTGATTGGTTTGTTCCCATTTAGTCCCAGAAACCAGGACAGATTTGATGCCTGCGTGACAGGGGCAATAGTTGTGTTTCAACTGACTCGCAGGTTCGCGTCCGCAGTAAGGGTTCTTCAATTTCTCCCTATCCCTCTATCTCCCTCTCTCCCTATCTCTCTACCTCTATATCTCTTTGTCGCTCTATGTCTCTCTATCTCTATCTCTCTCTCTCTCTCTCCCTCCCTCCCTCGCTCTCCCTCCTCCCTCCCTCCCTCCCACCCCTCCCTCCTCCCTTTGTGATGATGCATGTTTAACGTGCGGGTTCATTGTTGATTTTGTTATTTGTGTGTGTGTGTTATGTGCGCAGCTATTGTCATACTAATAACTCGTATTCTCATCAATCTATTTATCAACAAGGTCTGATTCCACTGTTCGTGGGGATTCAGCGGGAGGATCACCAAGTTGTGTCATGTGTTTTGTAGAACGTGTTACCAGGGTGAATTGTATCGTGTGTCACGTGTCCGGATGGCGAATGCAACTGACATATCGGCAGATGTGTCCAAAAGGCGAATTCGAAGGCTTGGCCCTCAGTGCGCGGAGCCCCACGCTCTAAGAAGATTTTGCACCGGCCAGGTCTACGGATTGTCCAGCAGGCATCCGAATCCGTAAGTAGCCCGCCCGTGGGATAGCTAATTCTTGGGAGAACGGTTGCTCAAGCACCGGAAGTTGCATAGGTGTGTGCAGAACATGATAGTTCGGCCATCCTGCTGGGCTTTGGTTGGGCCTCACTCGAGAATCCAGACGTTTGAGTTGTTTCATATCCACGGTAAAATGTATGCGTGGATGACATGTAACATGTATGCCTTCTGAAGAAAGAGTGGCTTCTTAGAGTCATTGCCATAAACCAACCAACACCAACCACCAACCAGACAGAAAGGAAAACATGGATGCCTGCAGGTGCTGATGCGCAACACTCGGAAGGCATTGTTGAATGAGCCATCTCACAGAGTACAGGAGCCCCTTCAGCCGAATTAGGCAGCCACAGCTAGCCGCCACCAACGCAAGTGCGTGCAGGTTCTGACACGTAGCACTTGCTGCTAATTTCCTGGACTGGAATGTCCTGCTGCGTTGTTAGACATACGTTTTCTGACCGACAGAGAGTGATTTGTTGGCGTGGGTTTGTCCTGGAGAACATTGGGCAGCAGTTGCGAGATGTGCGGATGTTCTTTGTTCCCCAAACAGTGTGTCTATACTAAAGTGTTGGTGGTGAAGTCAAACAGGATTCACGTCGTCCAATGTGGTGTAAGGGCTTGGCATGGAGCTCCCATGGACTGAGATAACCGACGTGTATGTTAGAACGGACCTGTGGGACAGACAAAAAACACGCACGACAAGTTGCAGTCTTTAATGTTGATGCCCCATGTTGGAGTGAAATGTAGGATTGTTTGCGCCGTGGATTGATTTGCCGCGAACAGCGCAATAGACGTAGGAGCGGAGGTGGCATTTATGTCATATCGTGCTGTTGTTCAAATTGGATGTTATGCCCTGAGGCAACAGGAGGAAGAGGGTATGCTGGTTTTCAGCACATTCGTCACTGAAAACTAAAGCTTTACCAACATTGGCCTTGGAATTGTTAGGTTAGGCTAGCCACACCTTTTCTTGGCTGAACTTGCGACGGCAGCCTTGTAGGGAGGGATACTCCTCGGGATTGGCTTGCAAACAGCCAAGAGAAGTGAGGCAATGCCAAACTGTTTGATAAGTTCCTTCAACTTCCACTGCCTCGATGGTTTTGAGAATGAGACGCTTTGAGCTAAGGAGTTCGCATGCTCTCCAGGGCCCCAACCCACGCAGTCCCATGACTCCAGGCGCCCCCATCGCCATGGGTGGCTGTGGCGGCGCTGTGGATGGCTCGGCAGCACAGCTGGCAGCCGTACAGCTTCTTGGCAACACTTGGATGCCATCGTCTGAGTAAATGCAAGTTGTCCATTTTTGTGGTTGAAGCAAATGTGGCTGTTGCCACTCTCAAGTCCCTCCAACATTGGTGATATCAACAGTGCGTGTACAGAGTGTCTGCAAGTTGCTCTTTGCCTGCGGGACGAACTGTATTGCAAATCAGACACAATTGCACCGAGCAACCAGCACTCCTTTGCGCAACTAGGGCAAATGCCTGCGCATCTGTTCCTGAATCGAGAAGTATGCAAACAGTAAACGTGGTTGCGACTGTCAGCAGCTTCAGAGGGAAAAGCTTTATGCCGCACGTCCAATCCTTCTCAGAGGTGGCTTAATCATTGGAGGTATCCTGTCAGAGGGTTCTTAAGCAATGTCTCTAAATAATTATGAGGAAGCTCTGCAAAACCTCCCTATTTATTTTGTTGCAATGACTACGGTTTTGCTGGAGTTTAAGCGAAAGTAATACGCTGGCCGCTTTCAGCGAATCACGACAAATGAGATTACCGTGGCCGCACCACTCGACGCAAATGAGCAGAAGTTGTCCAACGTTGTCCCACGAACGCTTCACTGGGTCTGATGGTTTGGTCGAATCCAGCGAAGGCGATTCGCATTGTGGAGCATTTGGGCAGGTACGCATCCATTGCAGGCTTTAAACTGGCCTCTCACGACAGTGAACAGACATCCTCCCATGGTCCCCATTCATCCAGTTCTCAGTTCTCTTTGTTGTCGTGGCTTCAGGCTGGCAGCGGCAGCTCAGCAGCAGCAGTTGGCCATCCAACTCTACTATCAGCAGCCTCTCGGCCAAGCGTAAAAAGCGATTTTCAGCCTGGCTCGACCATGGCTGCTCTGGAGGGTATTGTAAGCAGTAGCATTGCTGATTGGCTTTTTGTTACACAATCCTTGGGAAGTTGAAAGGTGAGGGCTCGCTGAAGACAACACCATCCTGATCAAGGAGCTTCAGCAGCCATGAGCAACACTTCAAAGATCCAAGAACAGATGTTGACAAATGTTTGAAAGACTGACACTGGTATGGTTCAGTTCAAATTCCACTGGGGACCGTTGTCCAATGCCATGGAGTTCAACGCACAAGATCGCGGCATCGGCTCTGATTTCGGTTCGGAGCACTGAGGATCGCAGCACAGCAGCAGGTGGCACAGCAGCTGGCGGCATTGGCCGCAGCGGGACAGGCGTCGGGCTTGAAGACGGCGGCTTGTTGCCAGAGAATTGCCAGGAGCTTCACGTTTGACATTTTTTATCTTTTGTATCTATTGTGCCATCCTTTGAGCAGTTTCTTTGCGGGTGGTTTCGTTTGTATGCTGCGTGATTCGGCAAGGTTGAGGCACCTCCGAAAGTAACTGACAAGATGTTCAGTGCACAATGGTAAAGTGCCCAGATCGAAAATAACAATGGCCAAGCGAACAGTGCCAGTTCATCTTTACAACTGTTTGACCGTTAGACTGAATCATGGCTTCGTAAAAAGAGTCTGCCTTTGGCAACACAGTCTGATTTAAGTTACATATGTGTGTAATTCAATCACCTCATGAAGCCCGTCTCTTTCAAGGAGATAGGCTGGATTATGCTGCATGTCCAAGTTTTGCAAACGCAGGCCCCCACAGACCCTGCAGCAGCGGCCGGGTTGCCCGATCCGGCTGCGGTCGCTGCGGCAGACCCAGCGGCGCTGGCGGCGGCAGTGTCGGCACTGACTGCAGGAGGCTTCAAGCGCAGCTCGAAAAGGGCTGGTTGATGCTTTTTGCACCATTCCCACTGCCCCCTTTGCCCCACGAATCTGAAGGCGCCTCAAGTTGCACGAGTATATTTAAGAATGGTTTGGTTTGCCGGAATGCAGCACTCTCGCTTTGCTTCTTGTGGATCGCTTCAAGGCGTCGAGCCAGCTTGAGAGATGTGTCGCCTGAGTCCCTTTTGAAGTGCCTCACCGACCTCGAACAAGAAAGAGTTCACCACCAGGAGACTCATATGTCACACATAAGAGGCTCAAAAGAGGGAGTACCTTGCTCGGGGCGATCCTGAATCCTGAACAAAGGTTCGCCTGAGTTGCTATCAGGTGTTTATTTCAATTGGGTTGAGTGCGTCGTGCGCAGGCTTGGACAGCTTGACAGCGCCTGGCTTTGCAGCTGCCGCACCTCCAGCACCAATGGAGGCCTTGCCACCCCAGCCGCTCGAGATGCAGATGCAAATGTCGCCAGAGGCTGCCATGGCGCTCACGGCGCCCGCGCCGGCGCCAGCGCCCTTTGCCGGAGCGCCCACCTTCCCGGACCTCACGGGTTCGACGGGTTCCACGGGCATGACGAAGTCTGCACCGCCGCGGCCGCCCTCGGAGGCCTACGGGTACCCGCCAGATGGCCCGCCGCCACCCCCAGCGCCACCAGGGCCCCCCGGCGCGCCCCCGCCGCCAATGGGCTTCGCCCCTGGCCCCGGGATGCAGGGGATGCAGGGGATGCAGGGCCCCCCGGGCATGCCCAGTCCTCCCCCACCCCCCTTTCCGCCGCAGTGGGATGGCAAAGGTGACAAGGGCTGGGACAAGGGCTTTGGAAAGGGCTGGGACGGTGGCAAAGGCTGGGATGGCAAGGGCATGGAGAAGGGCTGGAGCGACGGCAAGGGCTGGAGCGATGGCAAGGGGTGGGACAAAGGCAAAGGCTTTGACAAGGGCTTCGACAAGGGTTTTGGCAAAGGATGCGGAGGCAAAGGATATGGCGGCAAGGGCTTCGCTCCCTATTGAGTGTGGGGCGAAGCCACGGGCAGAAGTGTCAACCATGCAAACAAACACAGACAGACAGACAGACACAGGCACAGACACAGACACAGACACAGACACACACACACACACACACCACACACCACACACCACACACCACACACCACACACCACACACCACACACACACACACACACACACACACACACCACACACACACACACAACACACAACACACAACACACAACACACAACACACAACACACAACACACAACACACAACACACAACACACAACACACAACACACAACACACAACACACACCACACACCACACACCACACACCACACACCACACACCACACACCACACACCACACAACACACAACACACACATACACAACACACACACAACACACACACACACACGCAGACACACACGCACACACACACAACACACACACACACATTGTTTGAGACGCGCTCCGGTGAACTGCCAGCGCGTGCAAACTGCGTAGAACCGCGCTCTTCGCCCTGCGTGCGTGTGTGTGTGTGTGTGAAGTCAAGTGAGCCTAGCTGGCTAGCTAATTTAGCTAGTTTCCTGGTAATTAGCTACTTTTTTTGGAACACTAATTGACTCTTAGCTAGTTTGCTAGCAAGCTATTTTTACTCGTGGAGTAGTTACCTAGCCAGCTAGTTTGCTAGTGCGGTGTAGTTGGCTAGTTCACAAGTTCATTCGCTGGTCAGCTAGTTTGCGAGCTAGCTACCTATCTGGTAAAGCAGATAATTCAAGAGTAATCTTCTTAGCCAGCATGCTGCTTGGGTTAGGCAGTTGGCTAGCCAGTCAAGCAGCTGGTGAACCGGCTACTTAAGCAGCTCAGTTCGAGGGGCAAGCTAGCTTACATGTTAGCGAATCAATAGAGCAGCGAATCAGCTAGCTAACTAACTGGTTAGCTCTTGAGCTAGCTTGCTGCTTGGATAGTTGGCTCAATTGCCTAGTTAGCATCTAGTTCGCTAGATAGCCAGTCAATTGGCTAGCAGCTAGTTTGCGTGGTTAGCTTCGCTAGCGGCTTATTTGTTTTAGCCAGTTCAGCTGTGAGCTAGCTCGCGGGTTATAATGAGCTGTAGTTAGTTAGTTTTTTTGGTCAGCAGATGCAAAGAGCGAAATGCAGCCCACAAAACTTGCGCAACCTGCAAAGCGCATTCAAAAAGCGCAAAAAAAAACATGAGCGTTTGAAGGTAAACGGCCGGAAAGTCCGTAGAGGCTTGCGCGAGAAAAGTGCCAAATTTCCAAAACTATGCGGGTTTTTGAGGGTCGACCCGCCCAAAGGTTTCGCCATTCCATCGCGAAACGGTGCACACGGCCATGCCAGTCCAGTTCCTCCAAGCATGGTCCGAACCCGATGCGTCCGAACCGACGGAGCTTTGCGACGGAGCCGATTTCATTCACGGCCATTCTCTTTCAACTCCGGCTCCCCATTTCTTGCAATTTCATCATGGCTTCAACGTGAAGAGCGCAACGCACATATTTTTTGTTCATAGAACTTCCTCAAATAAACCACAGCTCGATTGGTTCTAGACAGTATCACATAATTTCCTTGTACACTTTCTTAGATGAACAATAGCTTTAAGTTCAAAGAAGTGAATGCCCGATACTGTGATACCGTCGACTGGTAGATCTCTCATTCTTATCTCCCCAGGATTGCAGCCGCACGCCCCATTCCGCACGTTGGAATCAGTCAATACTTACTCGCCCTTTGATGACCGAAAAGTCCCCATTAGAATAAATGTAGTAGATTCGTAGATGTGTAACTGCTGGCACAATGCCCCGTCGCAAGAGTATCCCACTGCATCGCCTGCGCCTATTCATCAGGAGATGTTTCGGCATGCATCAATCACTGCCCCCCCATAGACAAAATCAAGTTGAACAGCATCAATCAGATAATCAGAGTCTACTCAGAAAATAGGAACTCATCAGGCGATCTGCAGACGGATGTGCTTTTAGTCTTTGGTACCGGTTTGCTTGGTCCTGTCCTTTGCTGCGACCCCGGCTGGCTGCACTTCAATCCGGGCAAAGTGCCTGGGCATCTGATGAAATGCTCTTCAAAGGACAGTTTTCTTTGTGGATGATGTGTTTCTGATTTGGTTGCACCGCTAACAAACCGCACCAATGTGATTGGAACATGTGCCGGCTTTAACAGCCGCCCTCGGACACTTTCGCTCAAATTCGGCGGCTATCAGTCTCACAAAACCTCGGGAGCGCTATCAGTCGGTCAAAACGGAGCCAAAGCCTTCGCTTTGCTCATCGCATTCGCTCGCTGACCCCCAGATCTGCCATGAGAACTGCAGAATAGCCTGTGATTTGTTCAGCAACCCTACGGTGCAATACTTGCAACCTTTGTTTTTTGACGTGTAAGGACATGCGTGATTTGAAGGGCGTGGTTGAGTCGTGCAAGTAAGTGTTTGTACATGTCTTGGAACCACAGTGCCTGCAATGCCTTCATATCCCAGAAGTCAAAGCAGTGTAACAACCGTTCAAATCCGTGCATGTTTTTCGAGCAGCCATACACATGTTTGCTCCACCTCTTATAGTTGTGTTTTGAGCAAGCGCGATGCCCATGTTCACGTTTGCTTCTCCTGAAGGGGTACTAAAAACGTACTATGTGGGTTCTAGAAACAGATTTGCAGATTGACTGTGTATTTGCGCTTGGTTACCTTCCATGCATCAAGAAAGCTAGGCGTTGTGGAGTGAGTTGGGCAAATAGTGAATTTGCAGGGTTCATACTGGAGGCCTTGCATGCACTTTCCAAGTCCAACGTTTTCGTTCGAGTGCGAGATTTGAGCTTCCAAGATTCTCACGTGCTGCTGCAATCGCTGACAAAGCTGGAGTCTCTTCTGAAGGGGAAGCTCGAAAGCAGCTGCCTTGGAACTTGTAAAAGTGCTCTTCTCCCGGAGCACCTTCAGCGTGCACCATCCTCCGTCCATTCGCATGTGCGATGCCAATTGTCCTGCCAGGAACGCCGAGCTGCCCGCGCACCAGGAGCTGCCGCCACGAATGCGCAGAAAAGCCCGCCTTGCCCAAAACTCATATTTTGCGCGAGCGTGGTTCTGTGCGTGTGTGTGTGTGTGTGTGTGTGTGTGTGTGTGTGTGTGTGTGTGTGTGTGTGTGTGTGTGTGTGTGTGTGTGTGTGTGTGTGTGTGTGTGTGTGTGTGTATGTTTGTGTGTGTGTGTGTGTGTTTGTTTGTGTGTTTGCGTGCTTGTGTCTGTGTTTCTGTGTCTGTTTGTGTGTGTGTGTGTGTGCGGTTGCGTTGTTTGTTTTTTGTTTTTGTGTCCGTGTGTGTTGAGTGAGTGATTGTGTGCTCATGTGTTTGTGAAGTTGTGTATTCGTTTGTCTGTGTGTTGGCGTGGTTGCGTGGTTGTGTGTTTGTGTGTTTGTGTGCGCATCTGTGCGAGCACGCTTGCTTGCGTGCGTGGGCCCTGCGCGTGAGCCGCTGCGCCAGTGTGAGAAGCATATCTATAAAGCAAGGCCGACAGATCAGCTGTGTGCTTTTCCTTGGGGCAGGGACGATGGGTTCGGTTGCTGCTGAGCAGTTGAAGCTCCTGCGACAAGCATTGCGTGCATCGCTTGCATATCGCCCCAACGGCTAGTGCAGCATGGTTCCACAACGTTTTCACCCGCATGCAGAGTTGGCCTCAAGTCTGTGTTCCTTTGAATATCAGTCCCTTCCCAGTGCAACCACCATTGTTTTGCTTCATATTGCTTCACGAATGTATGCTTCTCATTTGACGCGTGTGATTTTGTAGCCGTTGCGCCCAGCTGCAAAGAAACCTTGTGCCCCCAATGGTGGCACTTGTTTTCCCATGCCGTGTTTCGGCCCAAACGGAATTGTGGGGCATCGTCGGCAGGCAGGGCTGAGCTGTAAGGGATAGACTCATCAGGGGCATTTGTGATGGCGCTTCGGTACATATCTGTGAGTCATGAGCGTGGCGTGGTGCTGGCAGTGCCCTGCCTTGGGGGGTGCCAAGTGGACACTTGGAGTAGTTTGAATTGGCATGTTTTCTTCAGTCGTTGCAATCATAAGCTGCCAATGATTAGAGATGCTAAAGCAGCCATCGATGGGGACGGATTCTAAACTTGCAGTTCCAGGCATGCATGAAACGACTCAACAGGAACGTGTTGAGCTAATCCCCAGCCCCTGTGGTCGAACATGGCCCATGAGAAGTGAGCGCAGCTTTGCCCAGGTCATGCGCTTGGAACCATGAGGCGTGCAGTCTTCCCGTCATATGCGACGAAAAGGCATTGCTAATAAGGCTGCAACCGCAGGACCCTGGTGCGTTTTGAATGGTTTCCTCTTTCAATTCCAAGCGCTTACCATGCCTGCCAAAATTGGGGTGGTGGCGAGGAATATATTGAACAAAGTTCCGAGATAGCGCTGCAAAGAGACACATGACCGAAGAGTCTTATCCTAAGCGAGTTCAATTGTTGGTGGCTGTTTGGCAAATTGTTTGGATTCATCCTTAGTCAGTGTTCAAAAGTGTTGCAGATTCGACCCTTGCTGCCCTTGATTTCGAGCGTGTGCATGCATGCGTCCGCGCGTGCATGCGTCCGTGCCTGCCTGCGCGCGCATTGTGTGTGTGTGTGTGTGAGTGTGTGTGTGTGTGTGTGTGTGTGTGTCTGTGGGCGTGTCTCTGTGTGTCTGTGTGTGACTGCGTGTCTGTGTGACTGTGTGACTGCGTGTCTGTGTGACTGTGTGTCTGTGTGTCTGTGTGTCTGTGTGTCTGTGTGTCTGTGTCTCTGTGTGTCTGTGTGTCTGTGTGTCCGTGTGTCCGTGTGTCTGTGTATCTGTGTGTTTGTGTGTCTGTGTGTCTGTGTGTCTGTGTGCCTTTGATGTTTCTGCTTGAAATGTTGAATTATGTGTTGGATCTCCGCAACATGTTACAGCACGGAATGTCGCATGGTCAGATTCAATGTGGTGAAAGGTTTTCCTTCAATACGCAAAGAAGCTGACAGTTCAACTTGGAAAAGGCAAACTCCCTTGCTGATTGGATGTTCCACTTCGTGTGTTCTGTTTGTTGCTGCGTAGCAGAGTATGAGCTGCGCTGTACTTCCGTCCGTTTTCCACCAAAGTCGCCAGGCGAATCAAGGAGCCACCGGCCAGTTTGCTGTACACTGCATGGGCTTGCGGCTTTTGCAAGATTACGGATGATGCGTCCAGAAGCAAATGGGTAAGGTGTCAAGCCAAGCAGCCGAACTCGCACTTGAACTGGGACGGCAAGGCTGCTAGTAGTCGTTCAAACATTGCTCTTTTCATACATTGCCGCAAGCCAGCGTTTGCTACTGATTGCAGATTTGCTGGAAGTGAGATGTCGATGCGAGGAAAGTCATCAAAGCCGTTTTTGTTGACCTGGATTTATCGGTTTATCGTGCATTGAAAGAGACCAGGAGTTGTGTTGCAGAGGAACAGAGTTGTTATGTTCACTTTTTCATCTCAGGATCTACATGAGTTGGTTCCAGGTTCTGGCGCGCGCAGTGGTGCCCTCGCTGGTGCCTGGCTCGGCATTCGGGATTTGCAGATTTGCAGAGCCACTTCACCACCGGTGTTCTCCTCTTTGAAGGTTGAGCTTTGGTTCCAGCTTCTTGTTGCTTGGTGATTGCCAGGAGAACATGAATCCATTTGCCCACTGGTGGGTTCAAGGGGTTGACGGCAAAGCCAGAGAATTTCGGAGAGAACTTGGGGGATGATGGCACACGATCCAAGTGGCTCGTGGTCGTGGCAAGGTGCTTGGCCCATGGGTGTCACCAGGCTGGCTGCCGGCAGCACAGATGCACAGTCGGATTCGCAAGGCTGGCTACATGCGAACTTGCCCCCTTACCAACAGACGCTAAGCCGGATACTGCCCAAATTACGAATGAGCACCTGGAGGTTGGTGTTCTAGGACAGACACCTGTATTTTAGCTAAGTACTCGGATGACAGCAGCCTGCTCAATTCGCTGAAACACAAACACGTTCCAAGGTTTGATGCCTTTGCAGATTCCAGATTGCGTTGCGTACACTCGATTGAAGTGTTTCTCCCGTGTCCCGTGTTTTGCTCGTGGTAAGCGAGATTTTTCTCGCAGGGTTTTTGCGGTGTCCCCGAGCCACACGGAGCTGAGGTTCACCGGCCCCTTGTGCGCCGCCGCGCAGGCATTGATCGTCGGGCGTGGGCCATGGGGACATGAGGATCGGCTTCACCTCCCCCTTGAGACATGGGCATAGGTCACAATAAAGCCACCAGGATATGGCCCGCAGGTTTCAATCATTGTTTCCATTTGCCAGGGTTCCATATTGAGTACCTATTTTTGACCCCCACACACACACACACACACACACACACACACACACACACACACACACACACACACACACACACACACACACACACACACACACACACACACATGGCACTTTCGTGAGCACATGTCAATGCCTTGCGCTGTTTCAAAAGACGCGACGGAGTCATGCAATTCAGACGCTGGCGACTGAGAGAAAAAGGAGAACAAACGCTCGCTGCAATACCATCCGCACCTACGTCTATTTGCAAATCGTCAACAGCTCACACGTGTTTGTGCAGAAGCAAATCAGCACACTTGCACGTTGATAATATGGAGAAGCAAGCTTTCAACATTGTTTTGTTGTCTTTGCTTAGATCATGTTCAAGCTCAGATCAAGAAAGCTGAGGTCAATCGCGCAATGTTGCCTCGATTGGTGCAGGCACAGGCCCCTTTGACGGCACGCTGCGCTTCCAGCGGTCCTCGCAAGAATTGGAGAAAGGGGGCGAGAGGGAGCCGACGTTATCCGAAATCCTCCAAAGCAACCAGCTGTTGGTCTTTTCGACGTGGATTGGGAAGGGCTTTCCGGCCTCCAATATGCTTGAGTTGATTCACCTTAAAGCTTTTGTGCCACAGGGTTGCGAAGGGGCAGTTGCAAGCAACATTTGGTCGAACTTAGGTGAGAGAGAATTCACCTTCGACTGTCAAAATAGTCTTGCAACAAATCATGCGGCTGAGAGAACTGCTGGATGGACTTTGCTCGGGCGGAAATGTTCCATGGCCCAAAAATTGAACTCGACTCGGCATGGAGCCCCAGATTTGTTCCTTTGTTCGTTGAAGCGTGGATGGCAAGAAGTGTTAACAGGGAGACCCGCGCTATTGTTCCTAGGCATAGCTACTGTCTGCTGAGAATTTTGGATCAAAGACCCTTCGGTCTAGGAATCTAGGGCCAACTTGTCCGCACATGAGCGGCTTAGCGGAGGTTAAGGGTTGAACCGGAGACTTGCGTAGTGCCATCATCAACTCGTAGAACTCAATCCATGTTGTCGTGTTGCCGGTCGGACAGATCACGGTCCCTGCCTGGTGTTTTTTTTTTTTTTGCGGATGGGCATGTCCTGTCGAAAAGAAACAGAAGTAGAAGCAAAGACAAGGCTAAGGAAGGCAACTCTCAAGCATCCACACCCCATCTCCACTTGGTGTTTGAATTTTCCCAAATATGAGTTCATTGGGCTCCTCCTGCTCCAGAAACTTATTTGCGCATGTCACGCTCTGGTTCAAGATGTGAGTCTGCCTGGCGACGGCGGCAGTAGCCTGATGCATCTCCTGCACCCATCAAAAGGCAGATGACAAAATTTGTGTATCAGCATGTCCTGGATTTTGCGAGCCTTCGCAACACGAACTTGCAGCATGCAACACGTTGTCCCAAAAATCCCAGACCTTGAATAGAACCCTGGAAGATCAAGGAGATATCTTTACAGAGATGCCCTCTGAATGCCTTGGAAAATGACAGATAACTACTGTAACTGCAAAGGCTCATACTGACGTCACAGCCTTGCACATACGCGGATCACGTTTGCATCACAGAGACGCCGCTTGCATTTGGTAGAGCCGTTGTATCAACTCAAGCAATACAAACCCCATGGGCTTCGGCCACGGCTATCTCGACGTATGCGAAAAACTGTGCGACTTGCAAGTCTCAAGCCGCGACAACAGCTACCCTTCCTCCAACTAACATGGCACCTGTGGGCAGGTACCTGGAAGATTCATTTCCTTTTGAAGGGAGCCCCTGTCGGTATTCTTTCACAAAGCATGGTTAGGCTGGCTGCATGCTCATACCAGGTGAGGCAAAGGACGAGGCGAGTCTGGGAGATGACGTTTAGTTGCTCCATGGCCAGTCTGGGACATTGGCTTGAGGCCCTAAACACCTAAACACAGTCCAAACACTACAAAAGCGAGTGGTAGTTCTTGTCCAGAGACAAAAGGTCTCACAGTCACAGACGCTCGCAGGATTATCTATATTTGGAGTGCTTCTGTTTTCCTGATGATGCGGGCAAATGTCTAGTTGTCAACCATATCCGACGCTTCAACGTGAATTAAGGGAGGATGATCATCCATGTGTCGTTCCTATGTTGAGATTCCGGCACCGTGTTGAACATGGGGGCAGATCAACTTGGAAGGACACCCGCCGAAGTCAAATCGCAATCCCTATGCCGCGGCGGGGCGGCCAGGTGCAGCTTGCCAAAGAGCTGGCCGAAAAGAAGCCTGGGCCCCATGGCCAGCTCACGAACCCGCAGAGATGTCAGTAACCATGACAGACTGTGGGTAACCACGCTATACTTTTCCAGTAACCACGAAGGGGTAACCATGGAAAAGCAATGGAAGGGGAAATGAAAGGAATGGAAGGGAAATGGAAAGGAAATGGACGGAAAATGGAAAGGTGAAAGGGACATGGAAAGGAAATGGAAAGGTGAAAGGGACATGGAAAGGAAATGGAAAGGTGAAAGGGACATGAAAAGGAATCGACGGGAAATGGAAAGGTGAAAGGGACATGGAAAGGAAATGGACAAGTGAAAGGGAAATGAAAAGGACATGGTCCACGTCCACATCCACGTCCACTTCCGTTCCACTTCCACGTCACTTCTGTCACTTCCCGTTCCTTTTCCCGTCCACTTCCTGTCATTCCCCGTCACTTCTCGTGCACTTCCCCGTCACTTCCCGTTTCACTTCCCAGTCACTTCCTTCCCCGGCACTTTCCGCTGCTCCGCGCACTTCCTGTCCTTCCCTGTCACTCCCGTTCCACTTCCCGTTCCACTTCCCGTCGACTTTCCGTCCACTTTCCGTCCACTTCCGTTCCACATCCCGTCACTTCCCTTCCACTTCCGTTCCACTTGCTGTCCGCTTCCTGTCCACTTTTGTATTCCTCGTGTGTCCCTTTCCGGCCTCCTCCATTTCTCGTCCACTTATCGTCCATTTTTGTTCTTTATATTTCTCTGTTATTCCGTGTCCTTTTACTGTTTTTGTTTTCTTCATTGTGTTATCGTGGTTACTGACATTTCCGGCGTGGTTACTGCTAAAAGTTAGCGTGGTAGCCGAATTCGCCGCTTAGCGTGGTTACCGGACTGTCTCCACGAACCCGCTCGGATGACATGCCTGTGGGTCAAAACCAATGGTACCATTTTGGGGTAGGTGAACCACCCATTTTAGAACCTGTTTTAGTGGGGATTGGGATGTTCACTGGGGGTACGGGATTTTGACCCATGACCACATGACGACGTTGCATGCCGATAGGTTGTCGCATGCAAGCTGCTTCGCAATGCATGATTCATCCTCTGACTCGTGGCTTGCAGCAGGCCATCCATTGAGGGCCCACCGACAAACGTCTTTGCAAATGTTGACCCAGAATAGATGTTTCAGTGCTCGGATGGAACCCACATTTTGCAACTGCTCACCTTGCTGAGGGATACTGCGCCTGAGACAATCTTTGACAAGATCGTGCGCAAGGCGCGCATGCGTCACATAGACGGTAAGCACAAAGCAGCAATTGTTCTTTTTCACCAAGCATACTTGCCCTCCAAGACAAGATCAAAGGTATCGCGTGCCTTACAGTGTCCCTTCATTTGTCCAGTCGGCACAGTTATGAAGAATTGCTTCGAATGAGTTGCTTCCCTTCACCGCATGGCCACCGAGGAGATTCCTTCCAAGGTGGTGTTTGAGGCAGGGGCTGCCAAATACGACTGCCACAGCTACAACCCCGTTTGCACATGACTCCGAAGTGTTTCTTGTGTCATTGATTTGTTCACTTGAATTGGCAATGGGCCATGTATTGCAATCGGGGCTCAGCTGGTTGGGGAAGCAGCTGCTTGCCGTGACGGCTGTTGCTGGATGCATCCAAAGATTCTCACCGAGATACCAGCAAGCCGCTGAAGTTTTGGTCAGATTTGAAGATCTCGCCACGTCAAAGAGCTGAAATCTGAATGCGTGAGTGGCATGACTTCCATTTGCTTAAGACTACTCTTTTTGTTTTCCCTGTTGGTTTTAAAGGGAACCTATCACTACTGGACATATTGTTTATTTTTTCCAGGGGTCGAAAAACCAAATGGAAGATGATTTACCCAGAAGATGCACCGCATTGAGTTGATTTCAGCTGGGAGCCTGGCAAGGAGGCTCGAGTTGAAAAATCATCCTCGGCCATGGCAGCATCCAGCCAGAAGCGCAGCGTCAGCTACATGTGGCTGTGGGTCAAAACCAATGGTACCATGTTGGGGTAGCTGCACCACCCATTTTAGAACCTGTTTTAGTGGGGATTGGGATGTTCACTGGGGGTACGGGATTTTGACCCATGGCCATGTAGCAATATTTGGGGGTGGTTTTTGCTTAGAGCGATGTACGTTTCGCATATTAGGTTTCCTTTGCCGGGTGACTGGTTATCCTTCGCTCAGAAAACCCAGTGGTGTGGCCTGGCATTGCCTGACATGGCCCCAATGACCTTGAGTGGACCGTGGACCTGTCCAAAGACCTCGCTTGCTGTTTAGCAAACCCTTGGCCACGGATGTTTCTCTGCCAGGATGAGCGAGTGCTGGCCTTCAGGGATGTGAGCCCTCAGGCGAGGGCTGCCTGCCGCATGCCGCATGCCCCGCATGCCGCATGCCCCCGCTTTCCATGCCGATCCCCATGCCGATCAGAAGAATTGGATGGAGTCCGGAGCTCTTCTCATCTCGAGTTTACTGCGCGAGGTCAAGACGCACCCTTTGCCTCCCTCCCATAGCTCAACCTGTGAAATTCCGTGGCGCAAGCCGCAGGCTCCAGTGCACGTGCTGGTCATTCCAAAGGCCCGTGATGGCGGGCGGCTCAGCCGGTTAGTCGGCCCTGACCTTCACAATGGAAATTGAGTTGCATAGAGCCAGCATATAAATGCACACCCCCAGAACTGTCAATGTGTTCAGCATGTCCATGACACATTAGCCATTGAGAGAACTTGACACATGCAGCGAGCAGATGCACGTCTCTCAAGGTCTCACGCAGCTGTCCAACGCACGGGAGGACCAGGAGGCGACGATTTTATGATGCATAGCACCAAAGGACGCGTTGCGTTCAAACGCTTTAAAAACGCCCCGCTTTTGCACTGCGGGCAAATTATGTTTGTTTGTTTGCGAATTCTGTTGTTTGCTTCAAAAGAGAATGCCAAGTCTCTCGTCAAGGCCCGACTGTTCCGTCAATGGGCCTTTGAACAATCAACACAAGCTGCAGCAATGCAAGCATTGGCAGTGGGATTGCACTCATCAACTGAGCTTACCTTGCTGCAGTAAAGCTTACCGCCAGAGCTACCATGCTGGGGGGATTTACTTTGCATGAAACGCTCAGATTGCCACACTGCTGCTGTTGGCAGCTCCCTTGCAACACACAAACTTCAAGCATGACCGACACAGGCTGCAAGATTCATGCGCCAGTCGGCAAGGTTCTCATGGATGAATTCCAATGGAGCTTGGTTGTTTCTTCCTTTGACCTCTAGCTGCTAGCTTGGAGAACCGAGGCGTTCCATGTACCTCCGCTCCCTGAAAGCATCTTTGAGATCAGCCAAAAGAGTTGGACACCATGTTCATTGTTTGATCGTTAAAGGTGCGACAATGACATTCAGCTCGTGCTATTCAATTGCGGGCCAGAAGGATTCATTCGACCAGAAGGATAGCAACTCCGGGACCGCTTCACTTCAGCTCCGCAGAGTCAGGCTGAAGTGCAAGAGCATCTTTACGAGTGTGTATAGGCCTATGGCTGGGCTCAATCCAATGGCATCCCATTTTGGGGTAGGTGAATTCACCACCCGTTTTAGGTTACCTATTTTAGCGGTTGGATTGAATCGGATGTGCACTGGGGGGTACGATTTGGATTTTGACCCATGGACATGTGAGCTCATACGCTCAGGCCAATGAAACTCGCCAGGCGTTGGACATCCCGCAGCTCTGGGCTCAAACTTCCAATGCATGCGAATCCAGGCAGCACTGCCAGGCCAGCTTCATGGGTTCTTTGAAAGGGAAAAGCAGATTCTACGTTGAAAAACCAGATGCGTGTTCAATCATTTTGTTAGCCAAGTGTGCTGAGCTTGCGCAACAGCAAGTGTTTTATTTTTGGATAATGTGTGAAGCTTGCACAAGCACATCAGGCCATATGGTATGGGCCATAGGGGGTCAACGCCAAGGCCAAAAGCCATCTCATGCCTTGAGATCCAGATCCTCTCGGCCCCAGTTCAGGTCGATGTGGCGCTTGCTGTTTGCGATTTATCACAGCCAGGCGGGGAAATCGCAGCCCCCTTGTCAGCTGATCGAACCGGTGCCGAGTTTTTTTTCCTTCCAGGCGCTGAAGATGGGAATGTCGCCAATGAGCTCGAATTCCAGTGTCGCCCGGAGCCTGAGCATTCCTTCAACCATTTTGCGCAACAAGAGTGAACGGGGGAAGGCAAAGATATTTCTGTAGGTCCAGGATGTCAAATCTGTGCTTTTAGGGAGGCACGACTCCTTAAGATCAATTGGTTTGACACCGTATGACTCTGACAGTTTGTTTGGAAACTATTATCACGCAAATTGTTTGTTGTTTGGGCATTGCCTTGGAGTTTAATTATGTAGATTCTATGAATTGCGGAATATTCTGTATTGTGGTTAGGGTTTGGTCGAGGGTGTATCACTGTCATTATTTTGTAGCGACATTTATCGGGGATTGTAGTCGTATCGAGGCCATACTTTGATCAGTAAATTAGCTGTGGCCTTCACGATTCCATTCGATGAAGCCGATGCAGCTTCTGCGGTGCCTATTGCTCAGGGGCTCAGTGGTTGCAAATCGGCAAATGCGCTTTGTGTTCGAAGTGGTCGCCCGGCTTTGATCAACTTGCATTGCATCAAAGACAGATTGGTCCCATCAAGGCAGAGTGAGCAGCTGTCAGCCCACTGGCGCTTTTTCTGGCACACTCCTAGGCGCTCCTGCGAGTGCAGGTCAGAACTGGGAATGCCAGACTGTGAAACATTTTACTGCTGCACTCCCCAGTCACTCCCCATTGCGCCTGCGACATGTTTTGCAAGATAGCCGCCTCGCTCTCCATGAGGCGGTGAAGATGGGGCTGCTGCCAAATTTCGGGCTGTCAAACGTCAGCCTTGCCGGGGTCAAAGTCCATGTTGTTGATTGGAGTGATTTGTGTGCCCAAGTAGAGACCTGCAGTGCCGGGTTGCTTGAATTTTGCACAGAAGAGCGATGCATTGCGGGTAGCGCGATATTTGTCGAATGACGTCACATGCACAAATCTCAACCATCCAGCCCTTGAGAGGGATTTTTTGGCTGTTGCCCGCAAACCACAAGTGAAGACACGTCATTGAGTCCGCCCAACGTTGAGGCCCTTCAACATGTGCAGAACCAGGCGTTCAGCGCGAACACAACCTCGGTCAGATGCCTAGAATCCATGGTCAGTGGAGCGCAAAGAGTGAAAAAGGCTCGAGCTTAGTGCCAGCGAACTGCATTCTGTTTGTTAACATGTTGGGTGTGAGTGAGGCGAACGCCTCGTCAAGGCAGGGAGGAGCAACTTTCGCAGTCTCAATTCGGCTTTCGAGGGTATCCTGGCAGAGTCACAGGCAGCTGGCTTTGTCATGTTCCAGAGATCTGGTTTTAACCATTGGTTTGCAGAATTCAGGGCTTAAGCACTATGAAAGGCCGGAACAGAGGTGTACGTGCTAAGCTGTTGGCGTGTCCAACAGAAATTAGCCAGGACTTCGATCTGGGGATTCTCAGCACTAAAAATGAGAGCAGTTCTAGAAGTTTGCCCAGTCGCACTGCCAAAGCAAAGTGGTCGAGCCAAGCTGCATTGAGCGGTTTGATGCAGTTGTGGCAATGGCAGTGTGCACATGTTGACAGCGATGGAAGACGGAACTGCTGGGCCGTCCCTTCTTGCCAGGCTGAGCTGGACATCATGGCAGTTGCCCAGCTTCCTTAGGCGGGAGATGTCCTTTCGGCTCCGAGCGAAGTCTCAGTCGACAACAGTGCTGTTACTGTATTTCCTTCGCTTACAACATGGCAGAAAGAGGAAAGATTGAACTTGCGCCTTGCTTTCTACGACAATGATCTGCCGAGGTGGACCTCAAAGCAAGAGTGACAGTTGCAGTTGCAGGAAGTAGCTGACAAATGGAACCTAACTTCTGCAATGTAGTGTGAAACTAGCCTGATGCACCCACCCCTGAGTTGTGCATGGTCATTTGCCTCAAAGTCATGTTGACTGGATTGGGCCAGGTTCCCCGCGCACGCTGTGGAAAAGAGTCCTCAGAAGACACTGATGTCCCATTCGCCAGGTGTCACATAGGAGTCAGGATCGATTGTTCAGGTGTCGGTACTTGGAACTAGGTGAGTTCAGGCCACGAGTCGGATCGCCAGGCTTGAAAGCCAGGGCCGTAGTGCAGCTTGGGCTTCCAAACACATCGTTGGTTCCGTTTTCAGGGGGATGAATTGCTTTGGCATCAGGAGCCGCCTCGTATGCACGCGCGCGCGTGCAAAAAAAAACCTCGTATTTACGACACCGGGCCAAGGTGGCCTTGCGAGCTTCCCCTTCATTGCATGTTTCCATCACACCTTGAAAGAGAACGTGCAGTCATGTGGTCATTGAGGGCCCACGTGGCAGTCTCTTTGCACTGCCACCAACGTCCTCCAACCCGACCCCTCGACGTTTCTTCTTCTTTGTTTTGACCACAAAGGCAGTTTCACAGTGGCGCATCCCATCGGCATGCCGCTGCTGGCTTCTGAGGTTCGTCGACCAGCAAGCAGCGGGCAAGAAGGCCGGAGAGGGGCCTTTGATCGATTGGGAGGCAAGGAATGCGAAGTGGCAGTTACCGGAGCAAGCAGATCTTTGAGAAAGAAGCTAAGAAATTCAGGTGCTAGTGCTAGGCGATCGTGCCCATTTGTCTGACGAGCTTGCCAGACAGCTGATATAACCTGCTCCAATCTCAGTGGCTGTAGGCTACAGACTTTGGTGGCCACGCGAGTCCTGGCACCCTTGTCCGTCCTTTGCGGCCTCCTCCTTGCCTGGGGCGGTTGCCGCTTGCTGCCAGCCACTTTGACCAACATGTCCGGGGGTCGTGGGATCCTGCGTTTCTCCCATGTCTTAGGGCAAGAAGTTGTTTGACCGCTTACCTTAAACACGAACTGCGTGTGGAAAGGGTAGCCGGAGGGTTGAGCCAGCTCTACAAAACCAGGAAGTGCGCGCTTCAAGGGTGCAACGCTGTGTTGTGTTTTTTTCTTGACAAATGTAGCCGCATTGCCCCGAGTTGTTTCTTGGCAGCTTGGGCCAACAATGCGTCTTGTAGTTGGAGTGTTGTGCTTGTGCCTTGTGCAATATTACAGTATACATTATTTACACACATATACACATTTGGTACCCTCCCCCCCACACAAAAAGAGAGCAGCGAGAACAAAGAATACAAGTCACTGGGCTGTTCATTTGGTAGACCTAGTACAATGGAACAATACACAAGCAAACTGCCAAACTCCTGCAACACATGAACATGGCGCCAGAAGGTTCACTGTTTTGCTTGTATATGCTCCCCATCTAAAATCATATTACAGGAAGGTTTGGTTCGGTTCGGGCCAATTTGGTTCTGTTTTGTGTCGGTTCCCGACAAGTGCGGTTCGGTTTCAGTTTTCAGGAAACCATTCGGTTCGGGGCACCATTCGGTTGCGCAGGGTGGTAGCTGTGAACCCGAACTACATGGACCTGTCCTACATGGACCCCTCCTATACTAGAACTTCTTTCGGCATGTTGTTTTGCGAAATGCTAGGCGGCGGACATGTTCGCCGAAGAAGCAACAAAACACCGACTAAAAGAACACAGATCTCGCCGAGGCGCAACACAAAACACCGAAATGCAAGAAACAACCTTGCAAAATATAATTACCGCCAAATGCCGATTTCCCGCCAGATTCCGCCGATGTCCCGCCGAATTCTGCCGATTTCCCCATCACGCTTTCGGGGAAGGAAGCGTGCTACATCAACGCCGACAATTGTTCCAAACTCCGAAATGTAAAGCCAAAACGCTGACAAGGCGCCTTGTTGCAAAGAAGCAAGAAACCAAAGATCTAGGTATACGTGTGACGTGCAGCTGTGCTGGTGTGCGTGTGTGCGTGTGTGAGTGTGTGTGTGAGTGTGTGTGGGTGCGTGTTCAGTGGTAGAATCATTGTATCCCATGATATCCCATGGCACTGTTTGGCGGTTTGGCAGCCAATGAGCAGTTGCGCACAGGTTGTCTAGGCGGGTCGGTTTGGCGGCAAGCGTGGGATCGAACATGTTTGTAAGCAACTGTTCCTGAAGCTTGGCTTGTGTCGTTTCTCACCGAAGGTTGGGTGCACGCTCGCGGTTCGCTGAGGATTTGACCAGACCTGTTCTCAACTGCCAGCCAACACCCTTGAGCCGCTTTGGTGAGTGAGAGTTTGCAGCCTGCAATTGTAGTTCGTGCAGCGATCCCATGATGATTGCTATTTGTAATAAGTTTGTGTTTCTCCTTGAAAGCAATCAAACCAATGTGGTTTGCATCTTGTTTTAGTTGTTTTGTTACTTTTCACCACGGCTCCGCAAAAGTTCCAGAGCTTCGTCTTGCAAGCCGAAGGTCGCATTGTGCGGACGGACAATGCGATTCTGCGGTATAGTTGTTCAATCCTCAGAGCCTTGGAGAAGGGAGAGTCTAACAGTGGCACAACTCGTTTTACTTGGGAATGCAGACAGAGCTTGCCATTGTCTGCAAAGACTCCGTCCTCCCAAGTCTGAGCCTCGCATTTCTGTGATTGTTTTCTTTCCTTCCGGCTTGCAATCATCACGCCACGCTGCTTGGGGTCGCAGCAGGGAAAATGTGCGTGGACTGGGACAGGGGTCAACAGGCGCTTGTCCGAAGACTGCGCACTTCGCGGATGCACTCAAACACTGACCGGCCTTGAGAACGATCAGTTTGCATTCACTTTGCAAGATTAAATACCTTTGTAGAAGCCTTCAGGGACTTCTGGGGGTGCAATTCCATTGTATTGTTGCTTCTTGTGAGAGTTCGCACTGCATACTCGTTTTGCCGTGATCCTAGTTGTTACCTTCAAGAGGTTGGATAGATTAGATAGACAGAGATGAATCTGTTATTTGCAGAGTGGCCAGGCACTTCTTGGCCACCTTATGTACGTTGCGAGCCGCGTGGGCAAGGACGAGTGCCCCGAAGGAGCTTGGAGCTTGCGCGGAGTTGTCCCGGCGACATGTTGAGGTTACAGCTAATTACATTGTAGCTACTTCCAATGGTGATTGCAGCACGCGTATGCCCATGGCGCAAAGCTTGAGGAGTATGCTTGGCAGGCTAGTCTCATAGCGCCGTAGCAGGCGATATAAGAAGGCAGCGTTAAATGCGCAAGTTGAGGTCAAGCGCAAGGTAAGCTCAGTGATTGTGATTGTGCAAGTCGGAGATCAATGCGAGTGAAGTGGACTTGATGTTTTCTTCATTGAGCCGCTTCACTGCTTTGATTGCAAGATCCCCACGACAAGGGTTTCAGTCGCCGTCCTTTCGCATTTTGCTCTGAGGGGGCTATTATTTGACTGCCCAAGCCTTGCCGGGGGAGGCTTCCGCATTGTCATCAACGACGGCAAGCACGGTGCCCAGGCACGTCTGCGCAAGAGAGGGCAGGTTTGAGATGGGCGCCAGATGCGTCGGCCTGTTGGATGATTTTAACAAGAGAACACCGACGAGCAGGTGTGTCTTGTTCAATACAAGTTGCGCCCCACTGAACGGACATACAGATTATTCATGCTTGCAGTTGCTCTCATGGCATTTGTGTTGTCATGTCGATACTATGCTTCCACTTGCGCGTGGTCCACTTCAGCTACTGCGTGTAGAGTCTTTATCGTCTTTACAGGCACATAGCTCAGAGATGTCCCAGTTGGGGCTGTGTATTTCCTAAGGGCTGCATGAAAGGCTTGAAACTTCTGGACAGGACAACAAGGGGGAGCTGTGCAAACGCATGCCAGTTTTGCTACGTTGGGTGGCCCGGGTGCATGAACAACAACGCTGTGTCTTGCCAGTCAGGCTGGTTCTTTGGCTACTATGCATATTTGATCATATTAACGTATGGCTGTTTGTGCAAGAGCCTGACAAGGATGTTTGGGTGCAAGACGAAGGCCAAGCTTTGCACAGTTGGCACCCTGATACATTGCAATTCTAGCGATGTGACCTGGAAAATTCGATGTATCAGATTAGCTCTGTGAGAAGCTGGAGGCGTTTTCTTGCCACAAGCTTCGAAGCTCCTGCGCAGTCTGTGCCGCACCTGCACCTGCACGTCATCGGTGGCCGTCAAATGCAGTGGCCGCCGGGCTGAGCAGTTTTTTGTTTTGTGTAGAATTGGTTAATCCAGATTAGCAAGCCAAGCCAAATGCCACGCCGCGAACAGGAGGAAAACACGAGAAAATTGAAGCATGCAACAACAAAATGTATAATATCACAAATGTTTTGTCATTTTTAATATATACATATACTATATACTATTATATGCCAACCCCCTTTCCGATGCCCCCATGTTGGTTTTTCCTAATTGAATTTGCCAGCCTTTCCAGAGCAGCCAGATGTGGACGTCATTCAATTTGCAGCAGGAAAGAAGGAATATTGGTGTTCTTTGTTTCGGCACTTACCCTATTGATCTGCAATTCAGGAGGCAACAAGACGAAGCTTGTGGATGTGAAAAGACAGTGTTACTGAAATATAGGATCTTCTTCAACGATTGCATTCCAGAGAAGTGTGCTAGAAAGAAGATCGGACATACTTCAAAAGTGTGTGCCGTGCAAGATATGAACAACACGTAAAAGCATGACATCTGCCATGAAGAGAGAAGATAAATAAGGACTTGTTTAGCAGATACTGTACGAACTTGAGACGCACAATTGTAGTCCAAAGCTAGGGGGTACAATAGCGATCTGCAAGAGATACATGACCAAAACGAGGGCAAGCATCTCCATTCTGTACCACCCAATTCTGCGATTCAAGAAAGGATGAACACGTGGCAACCCCGCTTGCTCGCCAGTTCCCCCACTCAAACCACCGCATCCCTTATTCTAGATGATAGCACCGTTGGAAACCACTCTGGGTCGTGACGAAATGGTGTTGGACACATATTTGGGAACATGGACAAAGGTAGCATGCCGCCTAGGATGCTTCGCATTGGGCACCGCTCCAAGAAAGCAACGGATTCAATGCTCGGCTGCTAGTCCGATGCACCAAAAAAATCAAAATCAAGCTGGGTTTGAGGAGACATAATCCCGTTTTCTGAGACGAAGACCAGGGAGGAACGGAAATACTATAGCACTTGTCGCAATGCCAACAGATCTACGTTGGGTACTCTGATTGCAATGAGGGTGGTGGCGCTAGGTCTTTGTGCCCCGACTCCTTTTCATGCCGTGCCAGCTAACATCGCAAGCCCTTGCGTAACTGATCTAGCTCAAATTTGTCTGACCGCAGACAGAGCTTGGGCAAATTCAAGAGGCATACAACGACTTTAGGCTTGAATTCCAAGAGAGCTATGCAGGCAAATGGTGATTTCCAGATGCCAGGCCCAATCTGAATCTAGGGATTGAAAAATCCAAGTTCTGGAGTAGCCTAGATCAAGCCCCCAAAACCAAGCATCGAGGCGTTTACAGACCTTTCAGAGACACATGAGACGCATTGAATGCGTCAACTACCGTAGCAAAAGTCTGAATGCAAGATGTAACACTTACATCCTGGATCCTGATTCTTACATCCAAGATCTAAGATTTCGAGAGTGTTGCTCAGGGGCATCTTGGATCCATCCCCTACAACTACTAACTCTAAATCTTGGGTTCAGCAGTTTGGATCGTGGATTTCAATCTTGGGTCCAGGAATCTGAATTCCTAATGTTGAGTCCTACATCCTACTTAGAAAATCAGAAGGTAAGAGCGTATCTTTCCACATGTGTTAGCGTTGTATTTTAACAAAAATGATATGGGTTGGGTAGGGGGTTATAGTTATATATATATATATATTACGTAGAGATTGTTTGGTTTTAGTTAGTTGGTTGTTTGTTGTTAAATTTGATTTATGTTCCTTTATGATATGTTAGTGTTTATTTGCGTACTGATATATTTATTGACTTGTTGGTTGGATTAGTCATGTGTTTTTCTTTTTATTTTTGTTTTTTAAAATAAAGTTTTCTTAGTTTGTTGTTTGTGTTACTTATGGATGTACATAAGATGAATGATGCATATATATATATATATGCATATATGTATCTAAATATAGATATTGTAGTATACGTATATTATATATATATATTATGTATACTGTATGTGTTGATAATTGTTTATAGTTGAACATGCTTTCAATATTTCGGGAACCCGATTCTCTCGCGATTCTTCCCGGATTTTTGGAAATCCGCGAAGAGTCCCGACAAAGCTATTCTGCTCTTGGCCTGCGCTTGGTCCTTCCAGAAGGACCTCGTTCGCGCCGGAAATCCGGGAACGAGCTTGATGTTCTCGCTTTTCCCGGATTTCCGTTTGGACTTTCCTTCCCGGATTTCCGGAAAATCCGCGAAGGAAATGTTCCCGGAATTTCCGAAAATCCAGAACAGTTGGAAACGTGGCGATTGCCCTGCTTGAAGCGGCCTTCTTCCTCCGTCCTTCTCGGCCCTGCGCGATTCCCGCAAGCTTCTAGCAAAAAATAGCAAAAAACAAGTTTGCGCAAAATTCACGCTCTTTACTGCCTTGACGACTTTTTTTTGCAGGCGCGGTTGCGCCCGGCCGTGGCGTTGTGGTCTGCCACCGGGCTCGATTCCTGCCTGGCGTACGACAACCGCCCTATTGGCGCGAAGGCCGCAAGAGGCATAAAAGTTTCAGCAAAACAGTATCGACAATACAAAGCACCCCTCGCTTGGTCAGAAACGTGGAAGGATACCCACCCACCCCGGCGTATTCAGCCAGGTTTTGGCTGTGGATCGTAACGCTGGTTGATTGGTTTTCTGATGCCTACCTAGTCAGACACCTAGTTATAGCCATCCAATTAGAGAAACTTGTTTTTCTGTTTTGCTAGCTAATTGGGAAGCGGCAAGAACGAATCGCGTGAACCCGCAGCTGTCTCTTTGCACGGCTTTCTCTTGACTCGCCACGAGACCCGTGTGCCGCGCGCGCTGGGGTCCCGAGCTCGGGGCTGGCAAGAAATTCCAAGAAGGTGTCTGAGTTCTTGTTGACCGCAAGATAAAGGTGGCAACTCCGCTTGCGTTGTTCATTTGCAACAACCTCGAAGGTGCCCAAAAAACAAGATCACTTCATTCTATTTTGGGATGCTCCCGACCCAGTGACGGAGAAAGATCCTCGTTTGCAGGCTCCTTATGTCAGGTGTGGAGCTGATATATCAGATCATGTTTGCTGACGGACCCTTGTTGACAAAGCCAGGTGAGCAGCCATTTCACCCCATGGCAAGGTCTGTGATTGCATAGGGATAGTGAGCGCTGCATACGCCCCAGTATAGGTTCTGGGCTGAGCAGCAAGAGAAGAAAAGAAAAGATCCCAAAAGCAAATCATGAACACGACAAGCCGGCACTTGTGTGTGTGTGGTACGATTGTGACTTATGAGCGGAAATGCAAATTCACTTGTTTGACTTATTTCGTTGTTTTTGGAATTCAGTGGCCTGCCAGCGTACTGGAACCTCTAGTTGGCTTCAGGTAATCTTCAGTGCGCACAGACTGCCGAACCCACTCTTTGCGGAAGCATGAAAAGTTCCCAAGTTTTGACACATAGGTTGACAGGCTAAAACACACCGTTGTATGTGTTCGATGCTCCGACATCGTTGGCGCAAAGAACATTGACTCCTGAAAAGGAAAACCATAGGAGACAAAACCACATTTGTACCCTTGAAGCCCACCTTGAGCCTGAGAGCGTCCCTGTTTTGGATAATGCGTGGCGCTACAGGGGGAATCCATTTCAGCGGCATTCCTCTTACGGTCCCCTGGATGAATCCGACATGAAACAATGGACCAACAAGGGGCAAGGGCAAACTATATAGTCTGTGAATCCACAAATTTATGCGTTATGCCAGGTGGGGACATAGTGGCTTGCCTAAAGGTTCGGTCAAACCAAAAGAACAACCACCAACAATTGAATATTGATGCCTGAAATTGGTCTTGTACAACGACACCTCGGTGTTTGCCAACACTACAGACCCCTCGAAACAGTAATTATGCCAACAAAAACAGTCGACGTCCCTACTCGTTGCGGAAGAAAGGTTCTTCCTGCAAACCCAATGTAAGCTGCTTAGGGCTGCCGGGGCAGACTACTTTCAACGGGCCCGAACAATTAAATTGCATGTGTTCCGTATGGGCTTGTCTCAATTTGTTGTCCGCCGGCACAGAAATGAGGCCCGGTTTTCCTTCCATGTTTGCTTGCAACAGCGCTTCCAGCTCAACATAAACATCCATATGGAAGAGGCAATATTTTCTGGCTGTCCAACGGGGCCGAAGTGGGGTTTGACATTCGACGGTGCCTGTCACGGTTTCCAGCAGATCACTACTGCTATGCCACAGTAGTAAATGGAAGCCCGGAGCCCCTCATTTCCAAGGTTCAGGCCATTTGCCACCCGGTTGAATGCCATTTTTCCCGCAACCGAAAGTGAAGCACCCTTTGACTTCTGGAAATATGCTTGGGAGCTTGGACAGGATTCCTTCACTGGGAGAGCCTTATAATGTCATAATATGTTGTTTTGACATTCCAGTTGCTCACTCGACAAGCCACGGGCCACTTGAAACCGTCAACACTAGGAAAGATGAAGGGGTTCTGTTTGCAACATTTGCGGGGCAATGCCCATGCACCTCGTTGTTCTTGGCATCACAACGGTTTGGTTTTGTTCAGATCCACTCATGAGTGGACACACTGTTTGAGGAAAAGTAAAAAGAGACACGCTCATTTCCCTTTTTGCTTAGTGGGTTCCGACTAGAATAACCCAAAGAATGAAAGCGACTACGTCCCGGCCACGTTCTTCCGCAATGCCTCAGGTGAGCATGGGTGCGCAATGCGGGAAATCCAGCGCGGGCGAGCTGGTGGAGTTAGTTCAATCCCCCTCCCTTGTGCGCCTCGGCGAAAAAGGCGATTCGCACTGCGGGGGTTGATGTTTTTTTCCGGCGTGGGAGGGGGGGTAGCCCCTTGTTTGACGGTCGGTGAATTATACTCCCAGATGGCTGTGGAACATGACTGGTTGGTGAGAGAACTTGGAATAGAACAGATTGGCCCTGGAGAGCTAAGGGGGAGTTGAGTCTTGAAACAGCGGAGGGTTAGGGACACTATTGTTATGATAGTCTCCGTTTGGCCTTTCTGTCCAACCCTAGTTCCTGGCTTCGGCAAATCCAAGTATTGACAAACAGATTGGAAGCGCGGATCCCGCGACAGGCAACTTGTAATGTGTCTAGCTCCAGCTTGTGGAACCTTGCAGTGGCTGAGTTCCTCAAAAACGGGTACATCCATGTGGAGGGACCGGAAACCAGCAGCGCCGGTGGGAGGCTGATAAACAGCAATATGCTACCAGCTTCACTGGCTCACAGGCACCTGTGTTTTGAAGCGCTGCTTCTTGCAGAGCAATGTTTGTTTCTACACTCCAGGTGTTTTGTTTCTAAGTTTCATCGGCGCATGACCAACTCCATTTTTTCCCTTCAACGCAGCTCTCTGGCGAGCATGGGCCAAAGAGACTGGTTGGTGTTTGTTCAGTATTTTGCAACTAGCCAGTTTCTATGCTTTCATTCAGTAGGCGGTGTTGCTAGCTGCTAGGGAGACTTAGATGGGAGGCCGCTGCTTGCCAACCTCAAGTTGGACGACCGTGAATGGCATTCCATTTCCTAGGGTGCGCATTTCACCTCCCAAAACGGCTGTTTATTTTAGATTCCGGAGTCAAGAGTGTAGATTCAAATCACGGGCCTCACAATTCTGGTCGCCTGAATTCCAAAGATGGACGCGCGCCGCAGGATTCCGGACGGGGACCTGACCAAACTTGACAGAGTAGATAGAGGCGCCAGCTCTTGCTGTCGTGTTGTTGACCACTTGGAAAACACACGAAATGACCACTGAACACAACACCCGGAGACGACGGCTCCATAGAGCGGCATCATGTGTTTTGGTTGAAGTGCTCTGGTTTTGGCAGCTATTGTTCGTTGAGATTTAGCGGAGTGTGTGATGTGTTTGCCGTCGATTTCCTGGTTCTGAACGACAGCCCGACTGTTTGCAGGTTTATGTTTACGCGTGTGTTTGTGGAGCAGCTTGGAGTAGCATGGATTTGTTGTTTGTGCTCCTGCCAAAGTCTTGGCCAAACACGAAGCGGAACCCCTTTTTGGAATCCCCGTAGGCAGCGCAGCCCATCAACGGGGCTCCGAATAAAGTCTCTATTCTTGGCAAGCCCCCCACATCAAGCATGGCGGCCCATGTTGAGACACAGCCAACTACTGTGGAGGCTGATCGTGTTTCTTTTTCCCTCCCGAAGCATGCACTTGTCTTGAAACGCTGAACCACTTAATTGTCACTGATGAAAAGGTGGCATAACATGTGCCACAACTCAAGTGTTGTTTTGCTTTGGACCCCATTTTGGTCAAGCCTCTTCAAGTCTTCATACTTGCCTGGAACAGACATGGAACCGTCAAACCAACTGGAATCCTTTGATTGGGATGACGTGACAAATAGGTTCATTTCAGGTCTTGCATGATTTGCGCGTGTTGCGCACGTCCGCATGCAGAGCGTCAGAGCTATGAATTGTCAAGAGAGCATGTTGAAAGGTCAGGAATCTGTTTCTAACAGAGGCGCGGGGGGGGGGGGGGGCGGACAGCTAGTTGCCCGAAAACTCAGACTATCGCCGGACACTTACATACATCCCTCAGAGCAAGCAATCGCCGCAAACGGCTTCTCGAGGTATATATGCTTGGGGGGCCAGCTGAAGAATTGTGGGCTATTCAACAAGAAGCTCGTCACACAACCGAAAAGCAAGATGGTTCGACACAAATTACGAGCTGGCCGAACGAAGGTGAGACCTCGGATTCCAAGGTATTTTTGGAGATTCAGTGCTACAAAAGGGCCTGTCATGGGGTGTGCTTTTCAGCAGGATTAGTTAGTTTCCTCAAGTTTTTTTACTTTTCCTAAACAGCACAAAAACTTGTGAGTTTTCCAACACAGGCAAATCAGGCATGTGTGTTGTTTGTGTTTGTTTGTTTTGTTTTCTTCCTCCAAGGTTTTTACATTTTCAAAGCACAAAGCAAACAAACCTCGAGTTGTCCAAAAACAGCAAGGAACAAGTTCAGACCCTAACTGAGCCAACATGGATACATAGGGTCTGAAATTGTGTGTCTTTTATTTAGTTGTTTTTTCAAGGTGTTTTACACCTTTCCATAAAATGCAAAAAGCGTGAGTTGCGCCAAATAAACAAACAGCGCAACATCAGACCCTAAATCCTCCAACATCAATACGGGGTCGAACATGTTTGTTTATTGTTGTTGTTCTTTGATTTTGTTTATCACCTACGCACAAGGCCTGTCACAATTCTCGCTCTTCCTCCGAGCTGTTTTTGTGGTTTTTGCACAAACCAGAGGAATGTGATTTGGATGCAAGGCTTTGTCATGTTTTGCTCAAAGTGTAGACGTGTATCTCATATTAGAACCTAACAAGGCCCTCATGTCCAAATATACTTGTAATACAATTAGGAGTGGAATAGAATACTGTACAGCAATGCAAGCACAAAGATCGGTTGGAGTTTGGTTTTAAGTTAGGATATCAATAGGAACTTCTTTCCAAATGAGTCCATTCAATTTGACCACATTTAGACATGCTTTGAAATGGTAATGACTCAATGCGTTTTCTGTGAACTAATAGAGCTGGCATTACATTTCAAGACTTGTGTGATTCCTTAGATTCCTTTTTTTGAAATCTAGTTAAACTCCAATGCACACCCTGTTTGGAAAGGAACTCCTATGTAAGTTTCAGCTTAAAATAGACATTCTACTTGGATTTTCATCCATCTCCCTTGGAATGAATTCCTTGTCTAAAACATGCAAAGATTCGTGAGCTTTCCAAGAACATCTAAGACATGGCAGACCACAGCTCGGGATCTGCAGCCATGGTGTCTGACATTTTGTTGTTTGTCTTTGTGTTTGAACATCTCCAGGTTTTTCAATACATGTTCAAACAAACTCGAGATTGCCAATCAACACAACAAAGAATCATGGCAGACTTCCTTGAAACAGGGCGCCCATTACTTTTGCAACAAACACACATATCGCCTATAAACACAGCCAAATGGTAGTGCTTGAGACCTGAGTAGTAAGCAAGGACATAGAAACACCAACCGAAACTGACATCCAATGATGATCGAAGAGGGGCATCCTGTCAACTTGAAAGCAACAATCATGCATTGGTGGGAAAGCCAAAGCTTGCAAAAGGTTGGGTATGCACCTCGAGCTTGCGCTACACGCTCTGCAGTTTGTCAGCTGACTCGTCGTGACTTAAGCGTATGTGTGCTTAGGACTGCAACAAACAGCTGAACAATGATTCGAGCTTTGTTAGCCCAGTGCATTCTATCGCAACGCTGCGCAGAAGTACGATGCACAACTTGCCTACAAAAGGCCATTGCTTGCCTTCTGAGAGGGCCTTTGGCGGGGCGAAATACGGTTCAGGCACCTCCTTAGGTACCAAAGGGCTCTTTAATTGTGAACAATCAGCCTTTCTGTGAAATGGGGCCATCCCGGGAGGCTTTCTTGGGATCACAAACTGTCCTCATCTAAAGTTCTGCTTTCCGTGACCACGGTATCAGGGACTCTCTTGGTCACAAAGCCCTCTCCAGTAGCATCCGACCATCTAAGAAACTGGATGTTGGTTAGACGTTCTGTTTTTTGTGTTGTTGGAATGAACATCCCCCGTTGGTTTCCTTTGGGACAACTCACAAATGTGGGCCATGTAGAACCTAAAAGGAAGCTCTGTGCCATCCGACAAGGAGGTTCCTGCACAGTGCGCATGGTCGAGCCCAACATGTCTGAACACGAATATTTGGCGTGACATCTAGTTGGAGGCTCTTGGGAACATTGTGTGAATTGGGATTTATGTCCACCAACTGCCAATTGGGAGTGTGTTCTGCCAGTAAGCCCTCATGGGGGGACGCAAAGCAATGACATGTAAAAAAATTGAGCCCAAAAGATGCAGATATGTGAAGAAATGCGCGCACATGTTAGGCATATTGAAAGTCAGAAGTAAGCAGGTGGGGCATGCCCTTTTATTGTTTTGGATGTTGTGACCAAATTGCTTTTGGAAATGTGCGAAAAACCTAAGTTTTCAAAAACAAAATAAACATGTCACTTCCAAAAGCCTTGGCTTAATCCAGGGTGAATCTGGGCTCACCTGTTTGAATGTGGTAGGTTCCAACAAACGAGGGACCCTCGCGAGTTTTCCACTCCAGACGTGCTACCCTGGCAGGTAGCCCCTTCGAGGCTTCTGCATCCTGGCTGCAGAAATGCTTGCACAAACGCACTCTGCGCGTGGTTTGGGGCCAGCTCACCGAAAAATGGATTCAGCTAGATCCAGCCCTCGAAGGTCCCTCATTTCGGGGTTCCGCAAGTCAGGGCGGTGAATTGCACGATTTTGTGCAGGAGGCTTACCTTTTCACGGGTTTCTTTCGCGACTGCTCATGTCTGTCACGGGTGCCCTCAAGAGCGTTTGGAAGCGCCAGCGATCACGCCGGCTGACCGTAGCTGTCATTCTGGCACTCAATCCGATGGCGGTGAACCGGAGGGACCAGCAGTTCAGGTGTTTGAAAAGAGAAACCATCGGGGCGACGGAGTCAGCGGGTCAGCGGGTCAGCGGGTCAGCGGGTCAGCTAGTTTTAGTCAGCGGAAAGTTGTTCGATTCTCGGCTCATTCCGTAGGTGTCGACCAATTTAGTTTACGTATCTGCGCGGAATCCACTTCTCGCCAGCGAAAAGCGGTTTCGTTACTTCAACCGTCGTGATGCTGTTGGCGTCGACCAGTTTAGTTACACAAGCAGCCGGGAGTGCTTGAGCTGCAGCTTGTTTTGCAAGAAAAGTCTGACTGGACCCAAGCTTTGACATGTCTTGGGAGGCTAGCAAAGGCCCCACCCCAACCCGCGCAGCGTGGGTGTGGAGTCTGCAGTGCCGCCCGCAAGTGTGCGTCTGCCAAGAGATAGATGATGGGCGTGCTGCTCGAACCTCGCGTCTTTCTGTGGCAAGGCTTGGAAGCGCGGCTCGGGATTGAATCCACCGCCCCGAGCTTGATGGGGCGGCTGGAATCTTGCCCTGTCCAGCTGGCAGTTGCGACTTTCAACAGGAACAGGGCACGGAAGGGGGCCACGCTACAAGCCGGCGCGCATCCTGAGCACCATTCCGAACGCATGGCGTGGGGGAGCAGCCAGCTGTCAAAGACACCAGCATGTGGGCAGGAGGTATTTTTGAAGCAGCGGAACGTCGCTTGTCAGCGCTGGCAACGGGCCAGCTTCTGCCAGTGTACATGTACGATTGTTTGTGCAAATCTGCGTAGTACGTGTACACATGTGCATATTTGCATGCAAAAGGTTGCGCGTTTCCCAAACCTGTTGCAAAGTTGAAAGCAAACTTCTTTTACTTCATGTAGTTCGAGAGGTCGCGTATTTCAGGACTTACGAACACGTCCCACCTGGAAGATACTCTGAGAGGAAATGAGAAACGCTTAGGGGAGCATCCAAGATCTGACTTGCACTTCGCATAGATTGACGTTTTATTGAGCCCGTATTGGCACCTGAAATAGTCAATATCAACCCTCAATGCTGCTAGTTGCGCATTGTCCGATGTATAATAGTTCATCCCATTAACCAGGGGGTGCATACCAGAGCTTCTTGGTTTTCCATGATCCCTGGGCGAATGAGTTTGTCTTAGTTGCTTCTTGAAATACTCATCTTGGTGATTTTCGTTCTGGCTTGCGTGTGGAGAGCTGCTCTGCAAGGCTGCCAGCGATACACCCATCATGAATGTGCTGCTTGACTGCACTGTGGGCCGTGGAGAGGGAGAATCTTGCATTTGGTTGCACGGTTCATAGATGGCCGGCTGATCAATGTCATGTGTCTCCCCAAAGTGGAAACAACCTGACTTGGAGCCAGCGGAACCAAAAACTGACGGACTGCCTAGCAATGAAAGCACTGATGATGGTCGCACGCCTTGGCTGAGAGAATGCCATCGCAGGGTTGGCTGAGCTAGGCTTAGCGGAAGAGAGGGCGAACCTCAAAATGGTTGGTGGACACAAGCCCCCAGGTCAATCATGTCCACCAAAGGGTCAGTCAAATTGAAGAAGAAACAACCGCTTCTCAGGGGACGGTGAAAGAGCTCGCGGGAAATCGCAGTGACCCGCTTCAGGGCTCGACATGCGAGTGAAGTGCAAAAGTCAAAACCACAGTACGACTGTTCCCAAAAGCGTGGCCAAGGGTTAGAGCTCAACAAGGCTAGCTCTGCTTCCAGCCCATCGCGTCGCAGCCTTGCTTCACGCCGCATCTCAACGCAGCCTTGCTTCACAGCACATTTTAGCATCGCCTCGCTTCACGGCGCATCGCAACATGGCCTTGCTTCACAGCACATCTCAGCATAGCGTTGCTTCACAGCGCATCTCTTCACAGCGTCTCAACATAGCATTGCTGTACGCCGCATCTCAACATAGCCTTGCTTCACAGCACATCTGAGCATCGCCTTGCTTCACGGCACATCTCAGCACAGCTCTGCTTCGCAGCGCGTCTCACCTCGGAGCACATCGTATCATAGCCTTGCTGCGCAGCACATCATCAAACGGCAAGGTCTGCGGATTTTGGTGCTTTGGGCTGCCCCAAGGTTAGCCTGCTCGCGACGCCTTGTCGGAGCGAACAAGGAGCGATCCCGGACCACGCTCGGAGCCGGATGGTCGGTAAATAGATAGAGAGCCTGATGGTGAGAATAGATATGTAGACAAACAGAAGGGTAGTTAGAGAGCCAGGTTTTGATTATGGTTGGTAGACAGAAGACGGATGGCCAGATAGGTTGATCGTTTGAGACAAAAAGAAGGAAGCAAGGAGAGAGAGAAGGAAAGAGGAAAGAAAGGAGGAAGGAAAGAGGAAAGAAAGACAAACGAAGAAAGAAACAGATATGGAGAAAACGAAGGAAGGAAAAAAGGCAAGAAAGAAGGAAAGAAAGAAAGGAACGAACAAATGAGAAGCAGGGAACACATGAACGATGACAAACAGCAAGAAGAGAAAAAGAAAGAAGAAAAGGCAGATCAAGATAGCTACTCATATTTTTAAAACTTCCGCCTAGCGCGGGTGGGATTGGTGGCGATCTGTGGGGATCGTGCGTGTCGAAGCGCTCTCACTCGTTTGTGGCGCCGTGCAGATTTACCTGCTGGCTGACAAGCCCTCTACGGGGATCGGGAATTCCGAAGCGCTCTCGCTGTGGCGCCGTGCAAGAATTTGGCTATCCTACAGGCTGAGCTGGTGGAAGTTTTGCCCGCTTGCTCCTGGGATCGGGCGTCCCCGCTGGCCCGCTGGCTGTCGGGCACCGCTTTGCACATACCTGCTTGTCACAGCTTTGCGCTGCACAGCTCCGCTTTGCGCAGCTCTGCTTTAAACAGTTCTGCTCGTGCCAGCGTAGTTGTGCTGTTAAGCGCGCCCTTGCCTATCTTTCCTGAGCAGCGCATGTCAACGTAGCTTGCTGCACGCCGCGTGTCAACGTAGCTGGGCTGCATCTCGCCATAGCTTTGCTCTCCGCAGCGCGTCTCAGAATCGCCCTTGCTGCGCAGCCCTCCTGGGCATGATTGGGCTCTTGCTTTTGATAAACACTTCCGGGATTCGCACGCAGCTTCACTTGATGTGTGTTCTGCGCATGTTTCGTGGCGCCCGCGAAGAGCAAGCCTGACCCACCGTATGTTGGCATGTGTCGGTTACGTGCGTCCGTGGCTAGGGGTTTCCATCAGCTACACTACGTACCTGATGATGAGAACACCCCTGCAGCTTGGCAGAGTCGTGGTTGACACACGTGAGAAGTGAGCGTCGCAGGGGTGGCATGATGCGGCTGCGGTTGACACAAGGAGGTCCAAGTCCCAAAGCGGGATTCCTTGTGGGAAATAACAAACTAACAAATGGCTGTGGCTCACAAAAATGTACCCAAAATGGCCCCTGGGTAAGTGGAGATAAATAGAAACAAAAACCAACACCTGCGTAACCCTAGCTCTTAAATTTTGAGCCACACCCAAATCAAAGAACATTTCACAGGTGGTGAAGACCAAGCCAGTCTCCCTTGTCCAGCACTGTACTTGTCTAATTTCGAGCCAACGCCGCAGAGTGAGGGAGACGATGGCTTTTGCTCAGCTTGGGTTACGGTAAAATATGTTTTGCTTCGAGCTAAAAACACGCATGCCCACCAAAACACACGGTGCCTCCTTAAACAGGTAACCCAGCAAGCTTGCCAAAGAGGTGCAAGGAGTTCCTTTTGGGGAGGCTTGGCTGCTTCTGGGGACACCCAGCCTTGCAAGATTTTGTGGGTTAGAGGAATCTCATATCTTTTACGAATTGGAGACTCATGTGTTTTGTGATACCCGTTTTGAGGTCCTTGGCAACTGGAGAAAGGAAGCCGCAGCCTATTTGGCCATGTTGGACAATGCCGGGTGGCCACCAAAGATCAAAGTCAGCGAGTCGCGAGTGTTCCCCAGACTCAGATAGTTGGGGCGATAGAAACGGTGTCATGATGCTATGTTCGGTGCCTCGATTTCAGCGCCGCATGGGGGGCAACGGGGTTCCTCCAAATCCATGGGACGGGGTTCGTCTGAGGCGCCCATGGGCATCGCCGGCGCTGGCCACGAGGCCGAGCAGAATGTCGGGCTAGGTCTCCCAGTGCCCCTTTACAGAACGATTGGGGGAGGGTTGCCTACTAAAATAGACTACAGAACAAAGGGCACCCGAAACATATGACCTCTCTACTGGAGGACCTAGACTTGCATGGGCGATAGGATCAGCAATCTGAGTCACTGGAGCTCAGCCTTCGCGCGAAGGCGAAGCCGGTTCCGCGAAGCAAGAGCTCAGATTTTAAGCCTGGCACTCAGCTCAAGCGCACAGCTGGAGTTTGCTGGGCTTACAAGGGTAGTTTCAAACAGCTCATGCGTGTTGAAAACAAAAGTGCCAAGTTTTGAGGGGCCTGTTAAGTTTTGATGGGCCTGTTGACAACTCGTGTGTTCCATATGCGAGCTTACCGGGGGCAACAAGCGAGTCCGAACCCTACTGTCTGAATGGTCTTTACTAGGCCCGTGCAGTCGGCTCTATGCAGAGTTGTTCCGAGCCTTTAAAAGATCACCAAGGGTAGGAATCTGGTTAGGTTCGCTTCCCTTTTCAGGTATCACGGTTCTACCCTTGTGCCGGCGATTCGGATCAATACTGCTATGCTTAGCATGTGTTTCTTTGATTATTTTGAAAAGTGGCACTTATTCACCAATGGACCAACTGCAAATGCCCTTACGAGGGATCCCGGTGAATGGTTGGAATTTGTGCACACGACTTTGTTTCACAGATCCCGACAGCAGTTTTCGGGTTTCATTTGGATTGACAGCTAGTGTTCGTGGTTTCCATTTCGGTTGACAGATGGTGGGTTTGGTTTCCATTGGATTTGCCGTTGGGTGTGTTCTCAAATAGGGAGCCCCCATCACGACTGCGAAATGAACCCGGTTTCGGGACACAGTGTTTGTCCCCAGCAGGGTCGGTATTTCCGGTGTCCATTCGGATTCACTGAGGGTGACTGCATCGGAGGTGCTTAAAGCACGCTTCCTGGCTGCAAGCTCAATGGTCAAAGGGGTTGGCCCAATGCAAGTCACACGGTTTGGAAGGGATTCACATTGCAGCTCCTTTCGTGGAGTGTTGCTGACGGGTTGGAACAGTGATAAAGGAAACCGACCGTTTTGGGGAAGCCGTTTGTTGGTCGGGTGATGGGGGGATTCAACAAAGACATGCCAACCACTACTAGCGAGAATTGCAACTCAGACACTACCGGCGATCCTTTATAGGCCACAGCAATGACATACTGATTGTCCCTTGGTGCCAGTGAAGCAGTGGATACCATTTTGGAGCAACAGCAGTTTGCTACGCACTAATAGCCAGAGAAATAGGCTTCAGGATACTGCTGGGTGTCAGCTTCCCTCCTTCACCATTTCAAGGAGGGCCGGAGCTTAACAAGGTTGCCAGTTTTCAGATTTGAATTGGGGTCCCAAAATGTGGTTCCTGCTTGGTTTCCCTTTCAATCGCCTAAAAGGGGTAGCGAGCCATAAATAAGCAACCGCATACCGGTGTTTGCCTCAGGACTTTCCGACAAGCAGCTGCTTGCAAACCCGGCGGATGTGATTTTGAAGAAGGTGATGTGCTGCACGCACAAGAGCTGCATGGCCGCAGGCAGCACTTCATTTGCGTAAATCATACTGAACTCCAATTATTTGGACGCACGCCTGCATTCTGACCCCGCGGGCTTGGCTTTGGTTTGACCTGGGTCCCCAGATTTGTTTGTGAGGACATGCGTGAGAGGCATGTCGCCGGGCGGAGCTGGGGGCTTCTGGTTTGTGAAGGGAGCAGTGTTTTGTGGTTCAGGCACGGCGGGGTGTCAACCAGTTTGAGGCTAACCTGTCTATGAGCTTAGACGCTTGAGATCTGCGCAAGGCGAGCGGTTTGGCCACTGCAGTCTTTTGTCGCAGTAGTCCTGGGCCGTTTTCCTGGACTAGGGGTAGCCACGCTGATCGCCATCTTGTCAGAGTTGCTCGAGATGGTTCGTTTGTGGGGTCATGGCCTACTCACGTCCACTGGGCTCCTTTGTGTGGGCTGTGGGCACTGCGCCTCATCCAAGCTGACTCACAAAGCTGAGGGCGTCGAGGCATCTTGTCCGCTTGTACCCGCAGGTGCGTTAAGAGCCTCCGGTTGGTAACAAGCATGGCGTTTGGCTCCTCTTGCCCAAAGCCTGGCCTGTGAGAGAATCTTTGTGTAGGGTGGCCAACCCCTTGTAACGAGCGAAGGATCCTCCTTATTGGTAGCAAGGAAGTGCTCCAACTGCAGCATCATCATTTTGCCGGCCAGTTCTTTGTGGCTCCAAGTGAGGCCCAACCTGGCCCATGGAGCTTCGGCAGTTGATCCTCCACCAAAAGGCATCCCTTCACTGCCTGTGTATCAACTTGCGCCTGAAAGTCCGAAGGTTTTCCATGCTTGCCCCAAACCTTGAAATTGGTCAGCCTTAACTCACTCTGCCCCTTCCCTAACGACAACGACAACAACGACAACCACCCGGCGGATTGGCCAAGTTCCTGGGGAGCAAACCAGTTGTGTAGTCTGAGTCGGTTGGGGTTAACGGTGCGGATGGCCCGGTTTCATGTCTTGCCAAGGTATTGTTTGCCGCGCAGAGTGGCAAGGGCGAACCGCGGCTTGGCCTTCACTGTTTTATGCATTTTAGGCACCTTTGGATGGGTATCCAGGTAGAAAGACAACAGCTGAGTTCGTTGAAAGTACAAATTTTAGGATCTGTGCTTCTTTCTGGCCTTAACTAGGTAAGGCTCACCAGCGCATGTGTGCATTTCCTGTCAAGCATATTGAGTTCTGGACATTGACGGAGCCGGAAATCCCTGGCCACTCTATGTAGGAGTTCTACTCCTTAGTCTAGCACGGATTCGCCCAATCCATGCTGGTAGCGCCAAAAAAAACACCGGTGTTTTGGCGGCAACATGTGTCTTACTTTATGGCCAGCTTGTGGCAAAATGGGGCTTACCCCTGGGCGCTGACTTGGAAACATCATGAATTCCCAGCCACGGTCAACACCTCATAAGGGTTGTCGAGGGCAGCCGGAAAAAGGCTTAAAGATGTCTGCCGGTTTGAAGACTTACGGTGCCAGGGGAGACCCACGTCTCGGTTGCTCAGAGCGTTCCTTTTTGTCCTGGTGGGTTTAGACTCCCAAATCGGCCAGTCAGGTGACATCTAACGGCTGACGAAAATCCGCTTGCGTTGCCCGTTGCCCAGGTCGTGGCGAAGCGAGTCAAGCAGGATATGTCTGAGGACTGGCGGTTTTCAGCAGATGTCTGTCTGAAATCTGGGCAAAACCTGTCTTCGCAATGCTGTCAAAGGCGTACTCCGCATGGCCCGGCGCCAATTTTAGAACGAGCTCAGTCGGATGTGAAACGAGCTTGGAGCCAGAAAGGCTATTTACTGAGCCTTTACCGAAAACATATTTTGTCCGGCTTGTGATCTTTAGTTGCTTGAACAGAGAGCCTGGATGACCTGGTTTTCCGCTATGAGCAGGAGATGACATTTCATAGATTTGACACGACCTCGAAAAGCCAACTACAAACATTATTGCTAATATTCCTTTGATGGTTTATCCAGCTCCATGTGGACAACTCCTCATAATATGCCAGATGACTCGAGTTTACCACTTTGCTATGTGAACTTGTAGTGAGGGAAATGGATCCGTTCAATGTGCCCTTACTTCATGTTGGGAGCTGATTGGCGGAATTGCCGCGCTAACCTTTCCGGGGTACTACATGACCCGGCACTTCGTATATCCTTGAAGGAAACCACGTGGCGTTGTAGCCCGTGTTGGGGCAGACCTCCAAAACACATACCTTGCCAATGGCCAAACCAATTTTAGCCTTGGACATCTTGATCTGGCTTATGCTGACACAGCTGTCAGGACGATCCGGCAGAGGTGAAGGTCCGCGTTGCTTGGCCGTCGAATGTGGGGTTTGTCGCGTTTGGCAATCAGATCCTACCCATCAAACGTTTCAGGGGAAATCGGTCTTCCAAAGGAGGTTTCATAGATTGACCATTGACGGGAGCGTACAGGTCGATACGCAAACCAAGGCCAAGAAAAGTTAACTCTGGTTCAGGACAAAGCAACTACGGACCGCAGCAAGAGGCGGACGTGGCTGAAGCCCAGAAAGTGTCCCGTTCTGTCCAAGATTCCTTCTTTTGGCTAAAGGGCACCAAGGCAACTGGTGATTCAGCCACTCCAGGGACTCCAGTTTCGGAGCTTGCAGCCAAGTTGTCTCCTTTCAGAGCCTCCCACTTTGTGTCTGCACTGACTCAAAGTCCAAACCGGTCCTTGGAATTGAGCCATGGCCACTTGGCCAAAGTTGGCGATCAAAGCGCCCATAAGGTTCTACACTCTGCTTGAGGTTGGGTCAGGGGTCGATCAAATCTGTCGGCCCATGTAGAAGCAACATTCAAGGGCTTTGGTCCCTGCTCAGGCTTCGAAGAGAAGGTGACACCCCCCACAAGTGAAGAAACCCTTCTCCAGATTTAGCATTGAAAGGAAGGGAAGTCCATCCTACAAAGTGGATGGCCCGAGTAGCTGTGTGGTAAGGAGTCATCCACGCGAGAGATGATGCACGAGCTTCAGATCTTGTCGGTGATCAGTCATCCCTGCTTGGTGAACCTTCTGGGAGCGACCATCAGCAGGCCTTCTTTCGGTGAGGAGAGGGGCTCCTGGAAGGGGATTTCGGTTCACTTGAGAACCAATTCGCAGATTTCCACTGCCTTCTGTTTTGCCACGAGTTCCCTTGGATCGTTAAACATGGTGCCCGTTTAGGTCATGGTTTCAAGTTGGTCAGGTTTTAATCTGGATCCAGAAAGGGGTCCGCTCTTTCGACTACCGCCCATTCCGAATGTGGATGGGTCTCTCAGTGGGGAACCGCCCAGAGTGTGTGTTCGTGGTTTCGATTTCGCTCAACCAAAATGAGCACAAGCTCAAAGAGAGACACAAACACACCAAACGCAAGCACAAGCACACAGACATAAGCGTGGCCGCAACAGCTTGCCTACAGCACACACTGCGGAAGACGATGATTCTGAGCAGTTTACAGCGTGCTGGGCGAAACGCACGCGTTCAAGACGCCGATGCACATAGGTCTCTGCCAGCCAAGCTACGCGTTCCTGCTCGGATGCTGGATGCTCCGCGATTGCCGTTTACGGGCAAGTGAGGCGCCAGGTAAACCCAAAGTCCAACACGTGCAACCAGAGTTGTTTGTGCGCGTGGTTGGAACAAGGTTCACCCCAAAGTTCTGGGAACAAAGCCAGGCAACAGTTCAACAAGTGTAGGCTTGATGTGAACGGCATGAACCAATATTCTAACATGTTTCTGCGGGTTTGTGATCGAGACGAGCACTTTGAGGTCCTCGCGCGCTTTGGGTTGCCTAGCAACGCCCAACAGTATGCCTCTCCCATGTTTCAATGTTGAAAAAACCCAAGGCGAGGTCCGAGGTCTGTTGAACCGCCGAAACATGTCAACCAAAGCGAGTAGCTGCTCTGAAGACATGGTGCTCTTAACTCTTAAACACTCATTTGAAGCGCTCGGCCAAAGCGGCTTGTGGCTTGTTGGGCGTATGGGTGTGGGATCCTGGACACGAAATGCCCCGTTTCTTCTGGTCAGCCCTCCACTTGGTCCCTAGACCTAAAAAAACTTGCTTGTTTACTGGGTGTTCGCAGTGCTTTGCCTCGCAATTGGCCCGTCTCATAAATTCCATACCCACCTGGAGCAAAGAGCCCTTCTGTTTTTGCCGCTAACCTGTCTAGGGACCAGTCGCCCATGTTCTTGACCGAGCTTATGGAAGGCGCGTAAGGGAGCGACCGTGGGTGAGGCAGGTTCTGGGTTGAGTAGTCATACCCAAACATTCTGTGGCCGTGGTTAAAACACCGGTAAAATCGACCTCTGGTAAGTGGAAATGGACCAAAACCCGCGTACCCCCTCCTGTTTAATTTTGAGCCACCCATGTGGAAACTTGGCCTGAGACGGGCTGTGAGCACTTGTCTCCTTTTGATTCAGTTTGGTTGAACATAGACAGACTCCACTGGGTTTGATTTAACAGTGCCACTTGCTCTGCCACAAGAACATCTGCATCTAGGGATGCATGAGTGGAACAGACTGTTGACGCGCGTGGCAGGCGTTTTTAGGAGCGCTGCGCGGCGTTCCACCCAAATGGCGCGCGCTGGGTTTGTTGCTGGTTGCTGAAGCAAGACCACGCTTTGATGGATGATGGAAACTTAATCTGAAATTTGAAAGGCTAGACAGCTGAGTCACTGTGGTGTGTACCAGTTTTTGTTTGTCATGTATCTGTTTTTTCGCTTATTTCCTCACTCTCTCTCTCTCTCGCTCTTCCCTCTCTCTCTCTCTCTCTCTGTCTCTCTCTCTCTCTCTCTCACACTCTCTCCCCTCTTTCTCTCTGTCTCTCTCTCTCTCTCTCTCTCTGTCTCTCTCACCCTCTATCTCTCTCTCTTTGTCTCTCTCTCTCTCTCCCATTCTCTAATTATTTGCACTCTCTCAAAACGGCCCCTGTAAGCAACTTAAAGCTAGTTGCTTTCTTGGGCTGGATGGATGCAACTGCAGGGGTTCCTCATATTGGGAAAGCCATAAACTTAAAACCTGTGCCTTGGCAAACAGATTGTAGACTGATTGCAGAGGAGCCACCCCTGCTCAGCAACACAGGTCTTCTTTGAGGGCAATTACCTCCTCCGGTGTCTTCCACGGTGCCAACACGCAACCAACATTTCTGGAACCCTCATTTGGAGACAAACCGGCCTCCAGAAAGTACTCTGGGACAAGCGCTTTTCGCAGGCAAATCGGTCGATGAAACTTGGATGCCCGCAACAAACAACCAAAACATGGCAATCCTCGGCTGTAGTTTCGTGAGTCTCAACACCACCTCTTAGGCTTTTTTATGTGCCTTTCTTTCAGCTCGGCGGCCTTGGCAAGCGTGGCAAGCCTGTGATGCGACGCGCAGCTCCCGCAAAGCTCGAGCAAGCAAAAAGCACCAGAACTTGAGCAACTTGAGCCGCCCGTGACAGCGCACCGCCCGCTGCGTGGCAGAGCCCGCGGCGCACGGGCTTCTAAATTACACTCACAGACCGTGAAAGAGCGACGCTCACTCGTGATTTAACGCAATTCAACGGCGATTCGAACAACCCCACACAAAAGGCATTCTTCCAGCAGCAGCACGAGCTTGGTTACCCTGTTCTCATGCCGGATGGTGCCATGGACTTTTCCAAACATGCTGAACGCAAGGTGATGGGGCGCACATCGCTCAGATCATCCGAAAACGGATCTTTTGAGGCGTCCAAGATTGGCCATGTCACGGAACATTAGCGGGCTCAGCAAGTTAGCAAGCCCGGTAGTTTCAGATCGCACTGCGGGGGAAACATTTCACGATTCTTGGTATGTTGGAGTCTACATCACGTATCCTATGTCTCTATAAGAAGCGGTCAGCGTACTGGAGCCCTCGGGAGCGTGTCTTGTCTGAGCAGGGTATACCAGAATTGTCGTCATGCAGGGAGGAGCATTGATCTTCTGTGAAAAGGGACAAGACCAAAAGGGCGGAACTTATCCAGCGAATGGCCCAAACGTCATTATGATCTGGACAAGGGCATTCGTGGTGGCATCCGTGAGGAGATCAGAAGTTGCGCGTTGCCTGCGTTTCGATTCGCAGAACAAACAAGCAAAAATCGTATATTGGTTGACCAAGAAGAGCACATTCAACTTGTCAAACCGCATCATCCTGCAGCTCCAACATGGAACCCCGCAGC